AAGTAGAATGTTTGTAGAAAATCAATTAGTTTGGGTACGTTGGTTCATATCTAGAAAGCCGGTGTGGTTAATTGGTAAGATTATTAATAAACTTGGGAACAGAATGTTCGAAGTTTATATAGACAAATTAAAAATTAGATGCAAACGACATGTTGATCAATTGCGGACATATTGTAGCTCAGACGATATTTTTGAGGAAAAATCGGGAGAAATGCCAGTTACAGTGTGGCCGATGTTATCACCGCCAGCGGTAACGGAGGTCGCGCCTTCTTTACAAACAGAACTTTCTAGAGACAGAGACAGTGAGAGTTCATTACCCGTAGTTATTGATAATGAATCAAGGGTAGAGACGGTAGGCTCAGATATTAATAGAGGGGATATGGCATCTAGTGATGCAGTTATTCTCTTAGAGGAGGGTACTACTGATGAGGTTCCTGAAGTAATTACAGGTGAAGGGTCAGTACCCATAAATACCGAACCTCAACCATCTGTTGAAGTAGAACCACTGGGTGCGACGTCTGTTTCCATTCAGCCACGATATCCAGGTCTAAGACCCAGAAATAAAAAAGTTAATTATAAAGATGTATAAAATGTTATTGTGTACATTGTATATAAATATTAGTCATATTATATTCTTATTGTTTTGTTAACAGGTTTTCAAATTAATGTGGAGGAGTGATGTGTATGTAAACCTCTTTTCATATTAAGAAAATGTATTTGTGTTTCTTCTAAAGAAAATATATTCATTTGTTTTTGATTCTGACAGTTGAGTAATAAATTAGCTACATAATAAGTCGGACGTTTTAATATACATATTAATATCCCACTTTAGAGAAATCTTTAAATGTATATAATTCACAATTTAAACAAAATGTAAATAATAATAATACTGCATTCAATGCAGATCAAATTGTAAATAATGAAATTATAATTAATGCATTAATTAAATCTCTTGTTGCTCTCGGTAACAACAAAGAGAAAATGTCAATAACTAATAAGACAATAAAATAAATATTGTTGTCAAATTTAATTTAATGAATGCATACTTAAATATAGCCCTGTTTAATATACAAAGCTTACAGAGTAAAAAAGCTCTGTTGCAAAAATACATAAATGAACAAAATATTGATATCTGTCTCATTAATGAGACATGGCTTAAAAGTAACAGTAAAATTCCTAAATTTACATCCTATAACTTCATATTCAAAAACTCAGTAAATACACACAATGGAGTTGGTATTTTAATAAAAGAAAATTTGAAATATAACATTATAACTACCACTTTTTATGAATCAATTCAGAATATATGTATTGCAATAGAAACATCCATAGGCAAATTAAACATACTATGTGTGTATTGTCCTCCTAATGGAAGATTTGATACCAACAAACTGAAAAAAGTTGTAGTAGTGCTCCTAAGCCATGTCTTATTATGGGTGATTTTAATGCACATCATATTTTGTTTGGTTGTCATACAAACAATAGTAGAGGTAATAACATATACAATCTCATAGATGAGCTTGACTTATGTATGTTAAATGATGGTAGTCCAACCACTATTCAATCGCCAAACAGGCAGGCATCAGGAATAGATATATCATTAGTTAGTCCCCGAATAAGTTCTCTCTGTGAGTGGAAAGTCCATGATGACCCGATGGGCAGCTATCACTATCCAACTCAGGTAAGTGTAAATGTGAAGCCATCAGTGTATGAGGTCCGACCTGTAGAAGAAAAATTTTTATATAATAAAGCAGACTGGTCGAAATATTTTTCTTTAACAGAAAGTATTTTTTCCCACTTAAATGTACATAATAATGTAAATAATGACACACCATTACAATTTTATAATAATTTTGTTAATATTTTATATGACATCAGAGACAAGACAGTACCAAAATCAAAGTGTAAACAAACTATAAACACTTTAATAAAATCAGTGCCTTGGTGGAACAAAACATGTGATGATGCTGTTCAACAGTCTAAGAGAGCCCTTATACAATATAGAGTTACCCCAACAATTCTTAACTTCATAAATTATAAAAAAGTTGATGCTAAAAAAAAGAATTCTAAAGGAACAAAGCATAGATTCCTGGCAAGAGTTGTGTAGTAGCTTCAATAGAATAACACCTATTTCAAAAATATGGAGTTCCATTAAAAATTTTAAAAGGATAGGTACATATTCCAACAAAAATTTTAATAATGACTGGGTACAAAGTTTCTTAGATATATTGACAGCTCCATCACAATGCAATGATGCAACTTTAGTTGATATATTGAATCAATCTGATAAAAATGACAGTGACCCCTTTCTCAACAGACCCTTTACACTGGCTGAGCTTCATATTTCGCTTAAGAGTAGGAAAGATACAACACCAGGTTTGGACAATATTACATATAAATTAATAAAACAGCTACATCCAAATGCAATTAAAATACTATTAGATATATACCATAAACTTTGGGAGAATTTAATAATACCCGAATCCTGGAAAACCCAGTATGTTATTCCAATTTTAAAACCAAATAAGGATATTAACTGTGCATCATCTTATAGGCCCATTTCCTTGTCATCGTGTCTAGGGAAACTATTTGAATTTGTTAAAATTATGTTTGGACTACTTTACTGAAACACAGAATAAGTTGCTAGATATTCAGTTTGGATTCAGAAAAGGCAAAAGTTGTTCTGAAAGCTTTGTAACTCTTATATCCCTCTATTAAAAAAAGCAAAATTAAGTCATTCCAATGTTGTGTGTGTATTTTTAGATGTTAAAGGTGCTTTCGATAACGTAAATGTAGAATCCTTAATTCATGTGCTACATAATTTAAATTTCCCCTGAAAAATATTAAACGGGATTTTTAATTTTTTTTAAAACAGAACTGTTTATGTAATGTATAATAATATCCTACATGGACCTAAATATGTTAACAGGGGAACAATGCAGGGAGCAACCCTGTCCCCTCTATTGTATCCTCAATTATGTGGATACTACAAAAGTTAACATACTACAGTTTGCAGATGATTTGCTTTTATACACTGAGAGTCCAAGTTTGCCTTTGGCCATAAATAATATAAATACTGCACTAAATCAATTACAAAAGTATTATTCAAATATTCTAAGACTAGAAATCAGTTCAGAAAAAAGCTCTGTGTTAGTATTTAGTAGATATACATTCACACAATCTAGTCATAAAATTATGTATAATAACAAAATAATACCCATTGTCCATCAACACAAATTTTTAGGTATAGTTTTGGACAATAAATTTAAATTTGATAAACATATAGATTACATTTCTCCAAATGCAATGAGGAGCATAAATATTTTGAGATGTTTAGCAGGGATTTACTGGGGCTCTGATCCCAAAACACAATATACTGTATAAAAGCATAGTCAGAAGTCATTTTGATTGTAGTAGTTTAGCCTATATGACTGCTAGTACCACATTGTTGAGGAAATTAGATGTTATACAAAATATAGGGTTGAGAATCATTAGTGGAGCTAAGCATTCCACACCTATAAATAGTATGGAAGTTGAAAATTGTATACCTCCATTGTCTCTAAGACGTTTGCAACTGGCAGAAAGATTTTGTATAAAGGAATTATCTTCCAGTAATAGTATTGTGCTTAAAAATATTTTATATCCTGCACAGCTTTCTCTGTTAGTTGTAGGTTCCCCTATATCAGCATCTGTTATTATTTTAGGATCATTACCTGAAATTTCAATAATAATGACACATGTTAAAAATGCTACAGGTGGAATATATATATAATGACAAATGGCCAGTATACAAATGTCCATATGATTCACTAATCTGTTTCCTTGACACTACATTTCATTTTGATTTAATATATAACAAATATGACTTTGCAGAATTTTTAAATATGAAATCAGAATTTTATTTTATTTATACTGATGGCTATAAAAATTTAAATGATGATAAAGCAGCTTATTATGATCCACAAATGAAATATACTAAATGTATTAAACTCGAAAGTAATTGCAGCATCTTTACAGCAGAAAGTTATGCTATATTAAGTGCTTTGTTATATGTTAATAACCTTGTAAATAATGTAAATATAGTAATAGTTACTGATTCCAAGAGTGTATTGGAGACTTTATCCAGTGGCAATTGTACATTTAAACAAAATTATATTATATATGAAATAAAAAATAAGTTAATAGCTTTAAATAAAAATAAGAATGTAGAATTTGTATGGGTCTCCTCATTTCCAGGTATGTCACACAGTGAGAATGAGGTCGTAGACTTGGCAACTCGTCAACAATATGATGAAGATCAGACAGACATTTTGAAAGTGCCATTTACCGACTACTACCAATATTTTAAAAGTAACTTACGAAGAGTGTGGAAAGAGTACTGGAACATAAGCACAAAAAATAAAGTAAAATGGTATGCAGAATTACAGCCAGACTTACCAGTGACACCTTGGTACAGCAAATTCAAATATTACAATAGAAAATTTATCACTATCATCAATGGTCTACGTTTCGGCCATTGTTTAGTTCCATCCCATCTCAACAGAATTAAAATCACAAATGACAACAGACGCAACGACTGTTTCAAGATAAATGCTGACATATTATATTTGAATGCCAAGTTTTCAACATACAACGGTTGATTCTTGTCAGTGATATTAGTGACATCGCAAAGGAACACTCACAAAGTATTCCCCGCCGCGTTCAAGATTTGCTATTTCACTTTGCATATTTTATTCCAATGTATAACTATATTGTACATACTGTGGAAAAATTATAATTAATTAATAAATTATTACTAAAATTGTAAAATTGTACTGTCTAAGAGCATATAATAGTTTATTCCTTATGTTTTAATTTTTATGTTATGTATTCAATTCTTTATAAAAATGTGTTCGACTGAAGGACTTGTATCCATGGTCATGAATAAAGCATTATTAAAAAAAAACTGATCTACGACTCTGTGACAGCCAGTTATTAATTTTTAACATTAGAGAATAATAAAACCTGTTTTTCCTTACCCTAAGTTTTATAAATATATATATATATATATATTTCCAATACCACAAATTAAAATGCATAACGAAGAAAACGTTAGCCCTGATAATGAGAAACAAGATTTAAAACCAATAGAAAATGCGTGGTTTATGAAAATCCCCAAATTTACAGCTGCAGATAACCCACATGGTTTACTTGAAGAAAGCAAGTTTGCTACTTTGTTCCCGAAGTATAGAGAACAATACCTGAAAGAGTGTTGGCCCCTTGTACAAAAAGTGCTAAAAGAACATCATATCATTGCAGAATTAGATCTCATTGAAGGAAGTTTAACTGTTAAGACAACAAGAAAAACATGGGATCCCTATATCATTATTAAAGCTAGAGACCTTATGAAGTTATTGTCACGCAGCGTTCCGTTTGAACAGGCCGTTAGAGTATTAGAAGATGAAATAGGTTGTGATATAATAAAACTAAATTCATTTGTTAGAAAAAAAGAAACATTTCTAAAAAGACGCCAACGTTTGATTGGACCTAATGGTGTCACACTGAAATCTGTAGAATTGTTGACTGAATGTTATATTCTTGTTCAAGGCAATACTGTGTCTGCAGTAGGGCCCTATAAAGGCTTGATTCAAGTGAGACGTATTGTGGAAGACACAATGAAAAATATTCATCCTATGTACAACATAAAAAGTTTGATGATTAAAAGGGAATTAATGAAAGATCCCAGGCTAAAAAATGAAAGTTGGGAGCGATTTTTGCCAAAATTTAAATCCAAGAATGCACCAAGAAAACAGACTAAAAAGAAGGCTGAAAAGAAATTATATACACCTTTCCCTCCACCACAAACTGAAAGTAAAATTGATCGCGAATTGGCTACTGGTGAATTTTTCCTAAAAGATGAACAGAAAAAAGCTAAACATCGTCATGAAAAGGCCGAGAAACAGGCTGAAATGAAACAGGTGCGTAATATGAAGAGACAGAGGGATTTCATAGCGCCAGAAGAAAAAATGACAAATTCTGTGCTGTCACAATCCACAGAACCTGTTGTTGACATTCAACAATTTAAAGCAAAGATAAAGAAAATATCTAAACAAAGTAAAGGTATGAAGAAAACACAATAAAACAATTTAACGAAAAAAAATATTAAATATTTAATTAATAAAAAATAAATATAAAAATTTTATTTTTTTATTTTCGCCAGTTTTAATTCAGGTGTAATAGTATTTTTGGATATATATTTTTTTCCATTCATATAAGGTTGTAATACATCTGGGATAAATATTTTCCCTTTGGGATCTTGATGGGTTTCAATTAAGGCAATTAATATTCTTGGTATTGCACAAGCAGTTCCATTCAATGTATGAGCATATTTATTGCCATTACTATCTGTATATTTAATATGTAATCTTCTAGACTGGTAATCAGTACAATTACTACAGCTGGATATCTCGCCATAGCTGTTTCGACCAGGCATCCAAGCTTCAATGTCGTATTTTCTGGAATTAAAATTTATTATGGTGCTATATTACTTACAAGTGAAATTCCATATTATTTAGAATTATTACAATCTATTATTACAATTATAAACAAGTAGTATTAATTAATATTAAAAAACTAGTATTACTACAACCATTATCACTGTCGACTGGGAATTTTATACAGAAAATATGCACACAGCAGCTATTACTTTTAAATTGAATTTATAAGTCTAAAATTCTAAATAAACTGTTTAACTAAATAATGCAGTGTAGTGACAAGCCTCATCACTAATCAATAAAGTGTTAAGTTTGTGTAGGGAATTACATACATTAGATTAAAAAAAACATTTTTTTATATTTGCGTCTCAATGAAATAGGGCATTTTATTTTAGCAGAATCTCTTGCATTATTTCAATATTTGTATTTAACTAGTTCTCCAATATTTTTCAAATATATTAGAGAGTAGTTACCTGTAAGCAGGTGCACCTAACTCAATTGGCGGCATATCTAGAATTCTCATATGAAATCCAAGAGGTGAAAACAATTCCTGTTGAACTTTCTGGATATACTCTAACATATCTTCTGATTGTTCTGGAGTAGTGACAGCAAACATTTCTACTTTAGTAAACTGATGAACTCTAAAATATATAAAAATAAACAAATAAACCAGTACTTAAGGCAACTTACTGGTAAGGATTTATATTTGTCATGTCTACCTATGTTATTTACCATATTACAAGATTGTTTAACATTTTAGCTCTTTGTACTAGACATTTCAACAATCATGCACATGATGTTAAATGGCTACTACCATCATGTGCATGATTGTTGACATTGTTGTAGAGACTAAAGCATTGGCAAAGCATACATCTGATGTTTAGGTACAAATGGCTATGGTAACATTCATAGCCATTTGTAATCTGAAACATCAGATGTATGCTCTGCCAATGCTGTAGTATCTACAGAATATCTCAGGAGGTCAATTCCACAATATATGACCAGTACACAAAATATAGGTGAGTAATTTCCAAATGAAATCTGTTTCTGAATCAAGATATTAAGTTACACATTGATGTTATGAATAAAAAAACATATAAGTTTGTAAAACAAAATATACCTATATATTCCCCTTTCTTCTACAATGTTAGATGTCTCAGCACGATAACATCTGCTTACAGCAGCTAGCTTAAGAGGAAGATCAGATATACTGTGTGTTGAGTTCATTAACAAGCCTGCTAGCGACATCTCTGCTGTACCTGATAGATACAAATCTGATCCATGGTGAACTGCATCCAAACTATATATCTAAAAATTATGTAAGATTTAATAAATGTTAGCCTTAATACTGACAGTGGTTAGGATACCATTGTGTCATTAAGGCAAGGCAAAAGCTTACACCACTAAAAGCAGTCCTTGTGTTTAAAATATATCTATTACTTAAAAGAAAGAACATCATAATGAAAATTAATACAAGTTATAGGCTATCTTAAATCTCAATAAAAAGTCTGACATTGTTGTGGGCAACAAATACATCATGTATGTTTAGTAGAACATCATATTTCCATCCAAATACAAATGAGTAATAAAAGTAAATAATAAATATTACTTACCTGTGTTCTATCACTATTAACTGCCATTCCACAACTCTCTAAAACATTTTTCGGCAAAATGTCAGGCACAGAAACTAATTTGAATTTTTTGTTTAATAGGGACATTATAGTATATTTAATTAAAGCCTCCTCTAATTCTGCTAATTCTCCTAAAAAGTAATAACTTTTGTGGCCACATGTATGGCCCAATTTATCTGTCCTCATCAAATTCAAACGTCTTGTTATCTCACTGAATTCAAGTGGAGCATATTTACCAAATTCTTTTTTCTCATTAAGCGTTTGAACTATGTGCGGAGAGTCATTGTATTTTTGAACTGAAGGATGGGTTCTATTAGGTAAGCAACTAAGTTCTTTGTACAAATCTTCTTTTACAATGTCATGGGAACTATGATATATTGGAATTCTATTGAATTTATTAAACAGTTCTTGTGCACGGTCTATATTACCCACACCTTTTCTTAACTTTATATTCTGTTTTATTTCTGCAGCATTATTAGAATTGCAGTAGTAATCAATATCAATATCGGGAAGCGAGCTCCAAAATCTTGCATATTTTGCTACATTCCCTGGAGACACTTTACATGAATACATTATCATTTATAAAAGGTATATAAATTGCAGCTAAGACATAAAATCAGGACAATGTAATTATCAAATGTAACTTATAAAGTCAAAGGCAGTCATCCAGTCATTAACTAAAATTCTGTTGGACATACATAACATAATAGTCATTCATTTCGTTCGGTTTGAATTGAGTTAAAAAATAAAAACGTAAACTAAGTAATGTCAATATCAACTTGACTTTGACATCATATTATAATGGTTTTAATCACAGAAGAGAAAAAAAGGTAGGAAATAAGGGAACGCACATTTGTTCATATTTTGTTCTCAGTATTCCCGATCGTCGTGGAGATCTTTGGGGGAGGCCTATGTCCAGCAGTGGACGTCTTCCGGGCTGCGATGATGATGATGATGATTCACGGTATTCACAGTATTCACATTGTTTTTATTAAAATTATTATTATAATTATTTATGTAAATATACTTAACTATAAAAACTTTCCTATTTCAATCCAACTCACGAAGTAAGATGGATGGAAGAACACTGTGACAAAAATAGTTTATTACCAATAATATATTTAGTCTTTGCCACACATTACATGTATAAACTTAACATTCTCATCTAATCTTTATTAATTTTGTATTAACACGTTTTAAATAAACACCCACACATTATTTCTGACAAACATAAAAATCGGTAATTAATATAATTTCCGATAATGCGCAACACTTCCCATAGTGTCAAATTTTTCTCTGAGATTGAAAAACGTCAAAAAAACACTAATTTCCCGCCTTCGCCTTTTATGTTTAGTATTGTATTTGATTTTCAGTTTTACATTTATTTTTTTGTTAAATATGAATTAGATCATTCAATGGTAAAAAGTTGTGAAAAATTAGTCCATCATTGAGTGCAAAATAGTCTAAATAGGGAATTATTTGTATTTGTTTTTTTAACTAAAATGCCTGCTATTGTTGAAACTGAAGATAATAGTGAACATTCTTCTGCGACACTTACGGATGATAATTTTGACGTTAAGAAAAGGAATAATGCATATTCTTCAAACCAGCACACTTTGTCATCTGAAGTGTATGTATTTGTCTATAATTGTTGGAATATTATGTGAATATTACTAACTAACCGAGTAGTGTTTTCTATCACGTTTATATGTTGTTTATTAATTACAGCTTTTCAAACACACATAAATCTCATTGCAATACAAAACAAATGAGTATTAAAAATATGTTCACTATGAAGAGGTCCCGAAGTCCGACAATTAATGGGGAAAGTAATCATAAACAGGTGAAAAACTATTCTCATATACATTGAAAATGCCTACCATACGAGCCCAGATATATTGTGTCCATATTGAATATGGACACATTATATCTGGGCTAAATAACAATAGCATAAACTTATGATACAATATATCCTCACCTCAAAGTCATCTCAGCTGCTAAGTTACAAAAAGATAAGAGATACACAAACAGACAGACAGATACAGTATCCTATTTATATTAGTATAAATTACTTTTAATTTCATATTTTAGTTTTTTAGTACTAGATTATTTATTAACATGTTAATCACCATGTCAGTCATATGTATCTGACAATAAGAAGTTCTACATGAGCCACATCAGACATATATGTATAACATACGCAATTTGTTAGAAGGCCATGGCAATCACAGATGTCCGATGCAAACAATACATTTGCATTATGTTTCGAAACATGCAAATGTATTGTTGGCCTATCAGGAACAATGGCTGAAAATTTCTAGGATTACTACAAACAATAAAATGAAATAAATGAACATCGAACAAAGTTTTAATATAGTGTAATATATGCCATGTCAGTCATATATGTGTAACATAAAAAGTAGTGTTTACATTAAGTGTCTTTTTTACATTTTTAACTACATGATCTAATAAAGTTACCATGGCCGATGTGAAAATTTTTCTGATAGTATCGTGGCAATTAACATGTTAAAGACACTTAAATAGTAAAGTCATTGAGAATTACCATGAGGCCAGTTATAATGCCCTGGTTATAAGTAACTGGACAATGAATACCTAAAGTTAATATCTATAACATTGCTAATCTACCCACGTTAAAATTTGAAATTTCTGCTGAGTGAGATGCTCACTGCACTTATTATTGCACTGTTTTTATTATGAATACAAGATATCTAATGAAATGTTGTAAAACTTTTATAGAAAAAACCTAAAACTATAGATAACGTAGATCAAAATGAAAATGAAGGTAATGTAACAGAAAACAACTGTGGTAATAAAATAGTACAAGAAAATACAAAACTAAATAGTTTTGATGACTGCAGTGTTAATTGTGATGATAACACTGAACAATGTGATAATGATAACACTATTCAATGCATTGAAGGTGCTTCTAATAGAGACAACAATAATGATAATATAAATAAATTAAATCTGCATACTGATACACATCTGATCTCTGAACTTAAGAGTAAAGATAATATTGCAAATGTGGAGAAATGTGACATCTGTGGGCAGTTTTTAAATAATTCTGACATCATATACTTCCAAGGACACCCACAAAATGCTGTGGAAGAATTTATAGCCTTGACAAATGAAAAGTTAGTTTTAGCCTCTGGTAAGTGTATATTTTATTGTACTGATTGATACCCTTAAAGTAAGATTATTAATTCCAGTCAGTAAAATGACATTTCCAGTGTTGCAGGTTTTTAGTCCCAAATAAATAGTCATGTGGTAGAATAGAGTTTTTACAATTAACAGTTAGTCGAGATTACATTTTTTTTATTCAATATCTAATTGCCTTTATATAAATAATAATAGTGTTAATGAATCTCTTTATACATTTTTTCCCAGCTTTTGTAATAATGTTGTAGTGGGAAATGTTAATATGCTGGTAAGGTCTATATTTCTGAAATCTATTATTTAATATGGTATGTATTAAATATTTACAATAAAAAAAAACGCTTTGATACCTAATAATATAAAGCATGACTAAATGTCTAAGTCTATTGATTGCTGAACATCACTATTGTAATGGGTCACCCTTTTTTGTATCAGTGACAGTTGCACTTGTCATTTTACTGACTGGAATTAATTGTACTTTAGTAAGAGTAATATAAAAATCTTTTACATTATTGATGAATTTGAATCTATCTATATAAAAATTTCAGCAGTACATTGTCTTTATAATGTACTTATATTACAGAATGTTGGTCTACTGACATGGGACCAGTCATAGCATTTGTATTTGTTGTATAATAAAGAAGTTGTGGGCCTAAATTAAAATAATAAAACTTTATCATAAAACTCATTAAACATGAATTTTTTAAAATATTGGATATATTCAAATATAAATTCTTTTAATAGCCGTCAACTGAAAGTCAGAGTTATCTTCAATTATAAACTTTTAAATTAGTGTTTTATTTTATTAATTTAATAACATTTTTAAATAATTTATTATTTATGCACTACATATTGAAGATGGATGGGGGAGATTTATAATATTAGTAAGATGAATGAAAATGCCGTAAATTTTCTTAACAATAATTCCTGAGTACAGAGATCTTACGAGAAATATAACTTTTTAAATTTCGCTTAATTACAAGTGAAATTTAAAAAGTTATATTTCTCGTAAGATCTCTGTCTATTGACAAAAAGATGACGGCAAATTGAGGTTTCCAATTCTTTTAATTTTTTTAAGTTAGGAAGTAAGAATGCTTTTAAATTTAATAAACTAATTCCATGAATTAATGAAATTACCTTCCACAAAATAACCAATTTCAATAAAATATTCTTTTCATATAATAATGAATAATCATGTTTCTAATCTTGATTATAGGTGAAGAAGGTGATATTATGGAAAGACCTCAAACAAACATAACAGGATTCTCTATATTTGATGAACAAGGCCATCTTTGTCCTATAGATTGTGGTCTTATAGAAAATGATATCCGTATTCATATGTCTGGATATTTAAAATCAATTTGTTCTGATTCACCAGATATTGATGAGGAATCTATCCCTGTAAAAGATGTGGGACCTATAATTGAATGGTAAATGTACAGTAAAATTATGTTGTTAATTTTATTCTCATAATATGTGATAATATTTAATAAGTATCATCAAATCAATATCATTTTAATTATCACTGTTTATTTATATTATTTTAGGTTTATTCATGGATTTGATGGAGGCCAGAGAAATTGTATTACATTATCTACTGAATTTGGGGAATATAACTTATTAAAACCTAATGAAGATTACACACCTCTAATGAATAACTTATATGAAAAAATTAGACTAAGTAAAATTGTAGTAGAATACTTAGAGGAGTATCATTACTTACAACCAACTTATGAGGATTTACTGGAAGTGCTTAGAGAAGCTACAATTCCAGAATGTGATGATAAAAAAATGAGTGAAGAAATGTTACACAAGCATGCACAATTTGTATGTGACCAAGTAGTTAGTTTAGAAACTGATGAAGATGATGAACCTTTAATAACATTACCATGTATGAGAGAATTAATTAAATTAATGGGTATAAAGTTCGGAAAACGCAAATATCGAACAAAAATAGATTACAAAAAAATTGATAAAAAGGCATGGACTAGGGCTACTACTACACCATTAGTGAGAAAAACATTCGAAAGTTTTTTTACTAATCAACTGGATAAGACTAATCATGAATTAGTTCTGAGAAGAAAAAGATGTGGGGTATGTGAAGCTTGCCAATTGCCAGATTGCGGTGAATGCAATGCTTGCAAAGCTATGGCTAAGTTTGGTGGCCATGGTCGCACCAAAAAAGCGTGTGTTCGTAGGTTATGTCCCAATATGGCGGTAGAACAAGCTAATGACTCTGAATCAGATGATGAAGATGAATTTGAAAAAATGGCTGAAAAGAAACATCAAGATAAAATAGATGATGTTGTGCCTGTTAAGTTAACTGGAAATAATAGGAAAATCAAATGGATTGGTGAACCAATTAAAGCAGATGCTACTAAAATTTATTATGAAAAAGTTGAAATTGAAGATTCGGAACTTCAAATAGGAGACTATGTTATGGTAGAAACATCACAACCAAATATACCAGCTTTAGTCGCGAGAGTTGTGTATATGTGGAAAGAAATATTTAATCCAAAATTAGGATTCTTTCATGGAGAAGTGTTTATTAGATCTTCTGATACAGTTTTAGGAGAAGTAGGTGATCCCAGAGAGATATTTTTAGGAGATAGATGTTGTCATGGAGCTCCTCTTTCTTCAATCCTAAGAAAAGCCTGTGTTGAAAAACATCAAACTCCCAGTGATTGGTTTAAGCTTGGAGGTAAAGATGTAGTTGATGACAATTTTGAAGATGATGGTAAAACATATTTTTATAAGAAGTATTATGAAAGATTCACTGCACGTTTTGAAGACCTACCAGATGATCCAAATTGCCCTAATGAATTAAGAAAACATAGATTTTGTCCCTCGTGTGAACGTAAAACTAAAAGAGATTCACGAAACATACCAAAGGTATCAGGTAAATTATTAGATTCAGAAATTGTGACAGAAAATTATAGAACCGAATGGACGACAGTTACATGGCAAAGTCATGAATATAAAAAGGGAGGTGCAGTGTTTTTAAAACCAGGAACATTTAAGCTGAAAAATAGTTTCAATAGCTCAAATAACAATATTAGTCAGAAGTTAGAGAAGGTAGATGAAGATATTTATCCTGAATATTACAGAAAAAGCGACAATAACTTACGAGGGTCAAATATTGATACAGGTGAACCTTTCTGTGTGGGTTACATAGCAGCTGTAATGGCTGGAGGGGACGGACCACTTATTGTACCGCAAGATATTTATCTTAAAGTTAATGTATTGTATAGACCTGAAAATACAACTACAAGGTTTCCCCAGCATGAAGATCTTAATCTTGTTTATTGGAGTGATGAAATACGAGAAGTTCCTTTTTCTGCTGTTGTAGGACCCTGTCATTTGATTTATGAACAAAATATACCACAAAATTGCACCTTACAGGATTGGTTAGAAGCTGATCCAATTAGATTTTACTTCAGAATGGCATTCAACAAGGAATCTGGTCAATTCATAGATATACCGCAACATGCAATGAGCATTGGTCGTATCGATAAAGGAAAAGACAAAGGGAAGGGGAAAGGAAAATCAAGTAAGCCTATGAATGGAAATAATACTAAATTAGATGATATTAAAATAAGACCATTAAGAACTTTAGATGTTTTTGCGGGATGTGGCGGGTTATCGGATGGTCTACACCAAGCTGGCATAGCAGAGTGCAAGTGGGCTATAGAAAATTTAGAAGCTGCAGCACATGCATATTCTCTCAATAATAAAAATTGTATAGTTTTTAATGAAGATTGCAATGCATTATTAAAGGATGCTATAGATGGTGTCACACATCGCAGTGGATTGCGCCTTCCCATGCAGGGCGAAGTGGAACTGTTGTGTGGAGGGCCCCCCTGTCAGGGTTTCTCTGGTATGAATAGATTCAATTCAAGGGAATACTCCAATTTCAAAAATTCATTAGTGGCTTCTTATTTGTCTTATTGCGATTATTATCGACCAAAATATTTCATCCTAGAAAACGTGCGTAACTTCGTTGCTTTTAAAAAAGGAATGGTTTTAAAATTGACACTCAGGGCTTTATTGGATATGGGTTATCAGTGTACATTTGGCATATTACAAGCAGGAAACTATGGGGTGCCACAAACTAGGCGGAGATTAATAATTTTAGCAGCAGCGCCGGGATATAAATTGCCTTCATACCCAGAACCTACACACGTTTTTAGTCGGCGCGCTTGCTCTTTGACCACTACTATAGACGGAAAAAGGTTCGTTACAAATATCCAATGGGACGACTCAGCTCCTAGAAGAACATGTACGATACACGACGCCATGAGCGATTTGCCACGCATATGTAATGGAGCTAACAAAATTGATATAGATTACGGTTCTATGCCAGAAAGTCATTTCCAACGCTTAATAAGAAGTAAGGATGAATCAGCAAAATTGCGAGATCATATTTGTAAAAATATGGCCCCACTGATACAAGCAAGGATATCTAGAATTCCCACCACTGCAGGATCAGACTGGAGAGATCTACCAAACATATCAGTAACATTATCTGATGGGAGCAAATGTAAGGTATGTAACAACTACACATAATCATACCAAATCATAGTTGCAATGGTCTTATTATTTTGTTGCTGCATGGTAGCTTTGTTCATTAATTTATTTGGAATCTTATCGTTTGAGTCAGATAGACGAAATATTGAAATAATTAATAAATACTGAGTATTTCTATCAGGTCTAATAAAAGAGTCTAATATTCACGCCGGATCACTTACGTAGTAAATAAAGGGAACCAAGTACAATTAGTTTACCTTGGTACAACTCATACTTATTCATAACTTGTCTCATATATTCACGCCAGCTCCTTAAATTCATTATTCCTCTAATTATTATCATATTTACAAATAGACGTAGCAACAGCTAAACTTATCTATTTCAGTTATTTCCATTGTTTTATGTCGTATGGTATTTTATTATAGCGTAAAGCAGCGGACACAAACACAGTATTTATTTTTCAAAAGGGGGTGATCTGCTCCAATTATGGTATAGGTTCCAAGGAGTCTCTTAGAGAGTACTTTAAGATTCAAGTTGTTCAGTTGCTTCTCAATACATTTACGAAAAGATCATGTACACCAGTAAAAATGTTGAGTTTAAAAAAAGGTAGCGATTACACTAATAACAGTTGCAATTTTCTTTCGCCTGTTACATGGGATCTATTATGCGACTTGGAGGCTTTTCTTAAACAAACGATTGGTCTACAGGTGTTGCAGTATCGCTATGAAGACAAGAAGAACGGACAATCTCGCAGTGGCGCCCTGCGCGGCGTGTGCGCGTGCGCAGCCGGCGGCGGTTGTTCATCCGCCGACAAGCAGGAACACACGCTCATACCCTGGTGCCTGCCGCACACGGCCAACCGCCACAACAACTGGGCTGGACTCTATGGTGCGTATTAGTAGGTGAAATTATTATTAAATATATGAAGGCTCATCACCATGCTTTTTATGGCTAGCTAACATGACATTGACAAGTGATCAAGATTAGAAATATATTTGTTTACTTTATTATTGTTGCTAATTCTTTTCTACTATATCAAAGCTCGTATCTATGTGTACAAACATATATTTTCATCTATCACAATAACAATCACACTGATGAGCCTTTTCGCACTGCTGCAGCACGTAGAATTTAGTGACATACACGCATTATATGACATTTTGTCGTTTAGTTGTTTTGTTATTATTGTTACTATTTACTGTGTCTATATTTTACTTGCACAAGCAAGTAACTTGCACAAGCAAGTAACTTGCTTGCATCAAATATATTTTTTAAATTTGATGAAATTTTGTGGTTTGGAGGCATTAACATGTTCGATTCCGTCGTCTCTATTAATTACCCTTATATATAATACTGTCAATAAATTCGTGGTAATACTATAATTGAATTATCTATAACTTGCCGCAATATTTTTTTTTTCTCTTTATTTTTTTTAGGGATTTTTGTGCACAAAATGTGATGATGATAATCCCATCGTACCTATACCAAATAACAAAAATAAACTAAAAAACAACTACAGAACTTAGACTAATATGATACCATCCAGAACAATAACTTGGCTGCATCGGAAGCTGGTTCTGCCAATATTTCATGAAATACTCCTATGTCTAACCTATTTAACATTAAAGCTTGGATAGTATATTCTCTTTTATATGCATTACGAACACATTCCATCAAAATATGATGCAGATGTTCTTCTTTCCCACAAGCTTCACAATTAGGGTATGTCACTTTTTTCATTAAATAAGCAAATTTATTTAATGGAATGTGTCCGGAACGAAGTCTATTACCGCAATTATACGGAGTTTTGAAAAAAGAAACGAAGTATGAGGAAGTTGTGTTATCCATCTACTATCTAATGACATACATTCGAAAAAAAATACCTTCGATAGTAGTTTAAATTTTTTATTTAAAATAATTTTAATTTTGTAATGATTGTTTCCGACAGGGCGGCTGTCATGGGACGGGTACTTTAGCACGACGGTAACCGACCCCGAGCCGATGGGGAAGCAAGGCCGTGTGCTGCATCCCGATCAGCCCCGTGTAGTATCCGTGCGGGAATGCGCACGTTCACAGGGCTTCCGTGACACATACCTCTTCGTTGGCTCCGTGCTCGACAAACATCGACAGGTTTAATAAATCATACATTTTCTTTTAATAGTTGATAATGGAATGGCGCTTTCGCCTGCACTAACTGCGGTAAAACAGGACACCAGTGAAGGATGATTAGATGATAATGAGGTCAAGTAAAGTTAACCAGTAGGTATTACAATGGTTTCTAGTAGGAACTTTGAGGTCTATACAAAACTTTATATATGTACTATAAATAACAATGAACAATGCATAGTTATAATATCTAAATGTTTGTATAGGGATCCAATATTTAATCGATATTCATTGTATTAATAATTATTTATAATTATGCAGGTCGGCAATGCAGTGCCCCCACCACTCGGAGCTGCTGTAGGGAGAGAAATAAAGAAGGCGCTAACTAGGACTTTGAACAAAAATCAAGCCTAAATATATTTTATTACATCATTATATATTTTTATGAACACATCAAAATAAATCATGTCAAAGCAATTGTGGGTATATTATTTTAAAACGTCTGTCGTTGAATGCGGTATTATAATTTTTTTAAAGTTATTTATACAAAATTATTTCTAGTAAGTCGAATAATAGTGTCATATATATATATATAAATACCACACAAATAACTATGTTTAACGTTAATTACTGAGGTAGATCACGAGTCATCTGTGTGAGTATATCTAATTCACTTATTTAAGTCACCAAGTAGCTTCATTTACAAACTGTTTTGATTAAAAGTGACAAGGCAGTGAGATTACAGGATATGGGGGCAAGACTTCTTAGTCTCCCGGATTGACAACACATTTGTGGTACCACAGGCGTTACATAAGAATGTAATGTCCCTGTTACCGTCCATTTACCTGGGCGATAGTAACCTTCATTTATATTATTATTATTAGGTACATTACCTTCAGATGGCCATCAACAAGAAAATTAAAACACTAGCAAATAAATTAATAACATTTATTTGTTCACATGCTTAGTTTTTCGTTTGATACTTTTTACTAATAAACTAAGTTCTGCGTCTTGTTTCGATTTCTTAGGTTGCGGTTGGTTGGCAAGCGATTCTGTAGGCCTCCTACGCAATTTTTCTTCAATAAGTCTCTCCATGTTCTTAGTTTTCTTAAAGTTTGGATTACTTGGATCAATGTTATAATGATGTGAATTATATAACGCTGAAAATCTTTCATCATTCACATCTATTTCGAAATCTGGCAGGGATTGCTTTTGTGACATTATTTTTTCTTTAAGTTTCCTTTTCCCTTTCAATCTTTTCGATACTATTTCTGCCTCTTGGATTTTTTTTAGACTGAAGTGTACCTTACCATCTTCATCATCCAACAGTAATTCTAATTCTGCTTTTCCCTTTTCGTTTATTTCATCTACCTCACTACTGTTCACATTAGAGTTTTTGGTATTCTTTTTTTTACTATTTTTAAATTCAGGTTTATTGAATTCTTCAGCAAAGTAGGGATCATTCATGTCAATATCCGAAGGAATATCATCAGATGAGTTATTTTCGTCATCGGATGCACTACCTTCGGATTTTACCGTTTCATTATTTTTTAATTTCTTTTGCTTTTTCTTCTCCTTTCGCTTTTTCAATAATTTTTCAAATGGGGTCAAATTTTTGTTGTCTGAAAAAAATGCAATAAAATTACCTTGTAATATTTTAGTTATTACATATAAATAAATAATATTTATGTTTATGTGCATACTACATTTGCAAACAATGCTACTGTAACACATAATATGTGGATACATAAATATATCTAATCATAATAGTGCACATTATGTATGTGCACTATTTTTTTATTAGATATATTATTTAACATACAATATTTGCTTAATATATACCTTCATCAGTTTTCTTTTTCACTAGCTCTTCTGCTTTGTCTTTAAGTCCGAGGCCCCAGGTTATTTCCATTTCCATATCTTTATTTTTCTTCTTTTCCTCTTTATTCTCAATGTCATCCAGTAACATCTTATATTTATTTATAGGATCTTCATCTTCATTATCCGGTTGAGAATAATCTTTTTCTTCTGTGATATTTTCATCTGAAATGGTATTGATAATTTCATTATGTAATTTAGGCTATTTATATTGAGAGAGTCTGGGGCAAACATCGAATTTCCAGTAGATGACAGCAAAAAACTTAGTGTGCTAATTTTCTTATTCCCAATATTCAAATACCAGAGTAAACTATGTCTCTCTGGGGGGAAAGGGGATTATTAGCAATGTGAATTGATTATTTTATTGCTAACAATGTACCATGTCAGGTTGACCTCCACGCGGTTCCTCCTGGAAACCATCGTGATGAATTTTTGGTGAATTTGTCACGATGGGCTAACTGACCTGACCTCCTGTTCATCTTCCCCTGCCCCTCTGGATCTGGTGCCCCGCCAGCGTAATCCATTGGCGCAGGCGGGTACACCATTCCATTTTCATCTATAAAAAAACAACTATGTCTACCTGTTAACATAATAATGATATTTGACGCGAAGATAGACGTAAACTATCTTTTATCTTAAAGACAGCAGACGAAGTCGGAGGTAACAGTGCAGTATATATATGTATATCTCACCTTCGTCACTGCTCGACGCTAAGTATTCTTTTAAATCTAGGTCGTCAATTTTGCCAGTGAGTGCACCACGTATCATATCAGTACGGTTGGGGTTAGTAGTATCCCATGTTAGTTCAACTTTAGCTTGTTGTAATGCTGTCGTTGTGAACAATCGAGGTCGGTATTTGTTCAAATCAGGTATTTTAGTACAAACTTCACGTGGTTCCTGAAACAAATAATACATTTATATATATGATTTTGAATTTGAAATTACAACTCCCACATGTTATGTAATACAAAGTCGTCTACGTATCTCAGTATCACCCAATTCACCCTTTTTTTTTTTTTTTTCCTCGACTGGCAACATTACCGATAACTGTCTTTGTCAGCTGGCCCTAATAATTAATTACTTTTATCTAATTTATTATTCAATTTTTTTAGTGTAATTGATATAATTAGTGAGTTTAAGCTATAAAAAGTATCGATTGTTGTTTGTGTTCATTTTTATATAGTATTTGTGTACAAAAATCGACACATAAATATTTCTTACCGGTCAACTGTCAAAGTTCGTAATAAACTTATATTTACATTAATCTTGTACATGTTATCGCGTAATTCAATTTAAATTATTATAACATTCCTTTATTGTTACTTATTTTGTAATACATGTTAATTTTGTGGTAACTTTAAAAGTGATTTACAGTTGTGCGTCGAGGAAAAAAAAAATTACCCACTAACCAAATATTGTAAGTACTAACTGAAATATAATTAATTCTTACATTAAAATACACAACAAGAGAGTGAAACTTTCACTAATTTAAATAATTATTTGTATATATTTCAATAACAATACTGAATCTTCTAGAATTGGTTGTTTTTAATTCTATTATTTGAGCTTGTGTAGTACCCCAAGAAACCCATTCTTACAAGTAATAATATTTAGTATTGTTATTTATAATTAACAAATTTACTAAAATTACTTACATATTAAATATTACATTGGTTTTATATATTTATAAATAAATATATTGTAAGGAAATAGCACACATTCTAAATTCCATTAAGTTCCTTTATATTTAAATTAATTACTCAGCATATTTAATAATGATGTCCCGAAGAGCCTGTGATCTTGATGCTAAACTTAAGGTGGCACTCGTTGAATTAAAGAAAACCCAAGACTTGAATAAAGTGTTGTTACAGGAACGGGATGATAGTGAAATAGAGATGAAATCTCTATTTGACAAATATGTGGCCCTGAAGGGGGAACTTGTAGACATTAATGTGTTCTGTGAGGACCTACGCGTTGACAGGGATAGACTTCAGGAACTTGTTAATGAATATGATCACTGCAGGGACACATATGAGTCAAATTTACAGCGTATCACTCACCTCGAGAGACACCTTGAGGAAGCACAAGCACATAGTGAATCTATGTTGGAACACAAACGGGTGAGTAGCTACAATAACACCTTAGATCTGTATACAGAATTGTTAAATGTCACTTGTGATCAAAAGTCTACTCAGCCGTTGGTGACCATAGATTTAACTAATACACCCAGCTCAAACAGTTGTATTAGTCAATTTAATAGTGTCAATAAATTAAAAAAATATATAAAAATAAACAAATTTATTAAAAAGTCAGAAAAGTTAGTGAGAACTCATACTAAATGTTTAAAATCTATAAATATTAGAAGACAAAAATTAGACCTGTTACAAGAACTTCAAAATTGTAAAACAAATTTACATGATAAGGATTTAGAACAAAATAAATTAAAGAGTAAAATTCAAGAGTTAGAATCTTCATTATCTAATTTAACAAAAAAATATGAGTGTGCTCAACTTGAAATTAATAATTATAGTAAATCGCTGGATAAATTAATTGAGTTGGGAAATTACAACATGGAGCGGTTCACCTCATTGACAGAGAAATGTTGTTGTGAGACACCTGAATCTCCTAAATCTTGTCAGTATAGCCCTAATGGAAATAACAATAAGTCAATCACATCGGTTTTGACTGAGTCAATCACTCCTTGTTCTAGTTTACTCAATTCTAACTTGTCTTTAAAAACTGATAATTGTAATGTTGCACCAGTACGAAGGACAATTATTTATTCAGATGAATATGGTAAGGGTCTGGGCCGTTCATTATCAGAAAGTCTATATCAACATGTCATAAATAATTGTCTTCCTGGTGCTTCATTGCCTAATATTTTAAATAAGGTGGTTAATGGTAGGTATGATAAGTTAACCACATTAGTCATTGCTTTAGGCAACTGTTTATATGTAAAAAAAAGTCATGTAATTAAACTTGTAAACTCTTTGCTTAATATTGCTGAGCTGGGCATAGGTAAAATAATATTATGTGCATTTCCTTACTGTCGTTCTCTGACCATTGAACAAAATAAGTTCATATATTATATTAATAATTTAATTTATAATATGACATGTCGTCATAATGACTTTTTATTTTTTGATAGTAACAAATTTGTTACAAACTTTTGTATGACTGGAGATAGATTTTATCTGCCTAAAAAACAAATAACAAATATAGCTAGTTTACTAGCTTATAATATAAATGACCCCATTATAAGTAATATAATGGGTTGCATTAATCCAATTAGTAGTACTTGTACTAATGTTAATACTAAACTTACTGAAAATATTGACATAAATATTGATTCTAGTAAGAATCCTTTTATTTACAAAAATTTAAATATGACTGCAGATTTAAACTGCTGAAAAAGACAAAGGGAAAGCTATCAGAATTGAAAATTGTTCACCAGAACATACAAAGTTTTCTCGGCTGTGAATTAATTATTCAATTGTTCTTAGAAAAAAATAATATAGATGTTCTATGTTTAACTGAACATTGGCTCAAAGTGAGCAATATGATGTTCAGCTTAAACAATTATAATATTGTCAGCTGCTTTAATAGAAAAATAGTAAATAGAGGAGGTTCTATGATATTGGTGAAAAATAATATAAAAGTAAAAGAACGTAGTGATATTGGCAATCTTTCTGTTGAATGTTGTATTGAAATTTCCTGTGTGGAACTAGACAATTATATAGTTATATGTGTATATAGACCTCCAAATAGTGATTATAATTTATTTGAAGAGGTAATGGAGGATATTTTAAAAAGAGTATTTAATATTAACAAAAAAATTATAGTGTGTGGTGATTTCAATGTTGACATTTTATCACATAATACCACAAAAACTAAATTAATGAGTTTATTTCAATCTTTTGACTTGAGTAATGTCTTCCACGAACCCACTCGTATCACTGCCACGTCTGCTACTTGCTTGGATAACATATTTAGCAACAGTGAGTATTTAGATAAAATAATAATATACAACCTTCCTTCTGATCACTGTGGTCAAATAGTTATTTTTCCAAATCACTTAAACAAAATTGGGAAAATTAATTTATTAAAAAGAGACTTGACTAGTTATAAGATAAATAAATTTAAAATATCAGTTCCTAGTAAATTAGATTTTTATCTTCCATCTAATGAACCTAACAAACTTTATACAGATTTCTTCAATATTGTTTCTAACGAATATAATAAGGCTTTTAACAAAAAAACTATCAGTATTATTAACAAAACAAAATTTTCAGAATGGGCTACAAAGGGAATTCTTAAAAGTAGAAATATATTATTTGATTTATATGCTCAAAAAAAATACCGTTTCGATAGTACATTCGTAAATTATGTAAAAAGATACTCAAAAACTTTTAAAAAGGTATGTAATGTAGCAAAGTCTAATTATCTAAATAAAAAAATTAAAGAGTCCAAGGATAAGATAAGGACAGTGTGGAATATTATTAACAAAGAAACTGGCAAAGTTAAAAGTCCATATAACGATTTTACGTTAAATTATAATGATAAACTAGTAACGTCCACAAAAGAAATAGTCAATATTTTTGAAAATTTTTTCGCTAATATTCCAACTGATATTACTTCCTCTTTGGACTCTTCTCCTAGTACAGCTAAATCATTCCTTATTGACAATGTTGTTTCTTGTCCGGTTACATTTAAATTTACATTTATTGACATTGCTACAATTACTAAAACATTTAAACAATTAAATTTAAAAAATACTGAAGACCATTGGGGCATGTCTGTTAAAGTTATTAACACCGCTATAGATGTTATTGCTCCATATTTAGTAATTATTTTCAATAAATGTATTTCTGATGGTGTTTTTCCCAATTTAATGAAACATAGCAAAATAACTCCACTCTTTAAGTCAGGAGAAAAAACTGTGGTAGGTAATTATAGGCCTATATCTATCTTACCAGTATTGAGTAAAGTGTTTGAAAAAATTATGCTCAATCAAATGCTGCAACACTTTAAAGTAAATAAACTGCTTCACAGTCGACAATTTGGTTTCACGGCCGGTAAATCAACTACTGATGCCGGTGTAGCTCTCATTAAATATATATTTGATTCTTGGGAGAGGTCTCAGGATGCAGTCGGTGTATTTTGTGATCTTTCAAAAGCATTTGATTGCGTTGAACATGAAACACTTTTGCTCAAACTTGAACATTACGGTATTAGATATGAAGCACAAAGCATGATGAAATCCTATCTAAATAATAGAATGCAAGTTGTCGAAATAAATGGTGTAAAGTCTGAGGGAACTAGTATTAAAATGGGTGTTCCTCAGGGCTCTATTTTAGGTCCTTTCTTATTTTTAGTTTACATAAATGATCTTCCTTATATGGTAGAAAAGATAGCTGACATAGTTCTGTTTGCTGATGATACTTCATTAGTATTCAAAGTCAATCGACATATTGATGATTTGGACGAAGTAAACGGTGCTCTTTCTTATGTTTTAAAATGGTTTACGGCTAATAATATGTTACTAAATGCAAATAAAACTAAATGTATCAAATTTACTCTCCCCAATGTAAGGCCGGTAGATTCAAAAATCACGTTGGACAATAAACCTATTAATTTTGTGGATGATACTGTATTTCTAGGTATCACATTAGATTCCAAGTTGCAATGGGGCGCTCATATTACTAAATTAGCGAGTCGACTTAGTTCCGCCGCTTATGCGGTAAGAAGAATTAAACAATTAACAGACGTGGCAACGGCTAAACTTGTGTACTTTAGCTATTTCCATAGCATTATGTCGTATGGTATTTTGTTATGGGGTAAAGCAGCTGATATAAATACAATATTTATTTTACAAAAGAGGGCCATTCGCTCCATTTATAGCATGGGTTCCAGGGAGTCTTTGCGAGAGTGCTTTAAGGAATCAAATATCCTCACCGTTGCTTCTCAATATATTTATGAAAATATCATGTATGCCAGGAAGAATATAGACAGTTTCAAAAGAGTTAGTGATTGCACTAATAAAAGCTTACGTAACAATAACAAACTGATTTTACCTAAATGTCGTTTGGCTAAAGTTAGTAACTCGTTTTATGGCAATTGCGTAAGGTTTTACAATAAAATACCAGAGTCTGTTATAAATCTGCCAGAAAAAAGATTTAAATGTCAAATAAAACACTTCCTTTGCAAAAAGGCTTACTATAAAATTGAAGAATTCGTTAACGATAATAATGTTTCTGTAGAAAAATTTTAAATACATAGCACTGACAATATTATCTGATTACACTAATAATGAGTGCGTAGCGATTTCTATGTTGATTGTCGCATGCCTCTTACTTGTTACACTGTAATTATTTATATAAAAAAAAACATCTATTAAAAAGAGCAACACACAAGTTTCTTGCTCATTCTTCTTGTGATGAATCTGCATTCCGAATGAGTGGTAGAATCAAAATATGACTATTCAAAAGTGCTTGTAATGAGTTTATTTGAATAAAGATTATTTCTATTTCTATTTCTATTTCTATTCAGCCTCCAGAAAGCACCTCCTTTGTAGGCTGTAACTGGAGATTGATATATTGCAATGAAGTTAAAGGACACCTCAGGAATAGTGTGCTACTTACTACTGTCTTATGATAACATTGTGTCCCTGAGGCACTTACTGCATGGTTGTTTGCTAACAGCTTGTTAACCAATGCGAATATTATAAATAAATAACCCTCGATAATTAACACAGTGCCATCTAGTCCCACGGTAAGCAGAGCTTGTGTTATGGGTACTAGACATCTGATATAAATATATTTTTTTAAATACATACATAAAATACATAGGATACACTCCGTCCGACACAAACAATAATACTCACGAATACAAATATTTGCACCGTGCGAGGAATCGAAACCGCGACCTTCGTAAGTGAACTACCGTACCGCTAGACCACCGAAGCCGTCGATTGTGTTATGATAAAACAAAGCATTATTATATAACAAAACAATTACCTGATCAAAATTGACATCATCAGGAATGAATCTCATGTCGAGATGTGTGGCGCTGCTTTCATACTCCATACCATCGCATTCATTATACAACTTGTCAGCGGTGGCCACAGAGTCGCATTCCACAACAGCATAATAGTATTTTAGTCTGTTTAGTTGATAGCGTCGAAGCTTCTCCATATGGTATGTGGAACCTAATAAATTTTGATGGATAAGTTTGGATTTGTGCATAAGCATGTACCCGTAGAGTAACTACGGGTATACGCTGATGGTGCACCAGCGGAGGAAGATGTTTCTGGTGTAGCCATCGTTGCAAATTCACCAGGAACTAACGGCGACGGATTCCAGGACATGAACCTAACGGGGTACATTGGAGGGAAGGTGATTGTTAGTAATGTGGACTCATTACTTGCAATGTACCATGTCAGGTTGACCTCCACACAGTTCCCTTGGAAACCATTGTGATAAATTTCTGGTGAATTTGTCACGATGGGCTAACTGACCTGATCTCATATTCATTTTATCATCCTCCACTGGTGCTCCCCCAGCGTAAACCGTTAGCCCCGGCGGTGTACCATTCCATTATCATCCATAAAACATCATTATTCATATCATACATGATTATATATCATTGTATGCAATGGTTCCCAGTCCTCATTATCAACTATTGCCATTCTTGAAATTGCAAAGAATGAATGGAAGACTAAACATATAATAGGCTAAAATCGATGGGTTACAATTTTCTAATAAGCCTTTAAGAGTTGCATGACTTGCAGTTGCAACTATGGAAATATAATATTGACCCAGGACAATTAACACTGCTCTATAGTTTGAAACTAACCAGAGCTTATGCAAAAATATCATCTTATACTCTTAATACTTGTAGTATTAAACAACTTACAGATGATTGTTTTGGCATTAAAAACAATATATAATACAGAAATAACGCAGTTTTTAACATGGTTTCTAATATTTGCTAAATATTGTTTTTTTTCTGTATCAAATAAGAATAGTAAATAGAAATAAAGTAAGTGTTAAAGATTCTTTCTTTAGTCCTTCTACCCAATTTCACCCAATATTACACTAAATCTATTCATTTATATTTACTCTATTATTTATCTAACATTTATATTCAAACAGATTATATACATAAATTCTAACTAAGTATAACTTTAAATAAGAATAACAAAGCACCTTCTTCATTTTCGCCATTGTCTGATAAATCAGTATCCTCATCATTAACTTGTTCAGTTAATTCAATAGGTCCACGCACCTCTTCTTGTTCCATTCTCTTGAGTCCATACTCAGAAGGATAGATCTGAAATATCAATAAGCTAATTTGAAATAATTTGATTTAAGTTTTGGTTGATGGTTTTATTTTCTGAGTATTTTATGAAATACTATATTTTCATTATGTTTAAGATAAACATAATGAAAATATATAATGTAAACTAACACAATATAAACCTACAATTTACACAACATATATATATACATGTATAGATGATATATATAATATACATGTATGTAAGACAAACATTTTGACAAAGAATAGGCGTTGGTGGTAGAAGGTAAAAATTTAGGGTTGCATATATTTATTAATACCAACACATAATAAAATAAAAAAATTTATTACAATGATATAATGATACTAACCGTAATTTTAAGAATGACACCTCCTGTAGGAAGAAATGAGTTTAATAAAACCATTATATCTGCAGCTTTGATGTTATCCCAATCCATATTGCAAACTGCAATTCTGTAATAATAAAACATTCACTTATATTAGTAAGTTTTATTAGGAAGGAGCAAGGCCAGAAATTAAAGATAACATAAGAATTGCTAACCTGTTCTATTTTAAGTGACAGATAGAAAATCTAGTTGCTATGGAAAATAGGCCAAATATTAAAGAGACTTTAGAAGTCAGATTCAGCTGTAGAAAGTAAACTTTTCTCATTAATAATCTCTTTAATGTTTTTATTGTATAAATGATGCTCACATTTCTTATTAAACATATTTAGATATTACATAGATATCTGTACATATAAATAAAATTGGCGTGTCTGTTTGTAATATTGAAATAACCATTTTTTACTATGGTATGGAATATAAATACGGTACATACACCAAAATAACATTTTTTACAATTTTTGTGTCAGTTTGTTTTCGTCCGATTTTGACGGGACTTTTTTGGCAGGTAGCTGGTGTAATAAGGAGTAACTTAGACTACTTTTATTTTAGAAAAATAAAGTTAAGTTCTATGTGGGAACAGTTAGTTTATTATAAATACATTATAAATTGAGTATTTGGTATTGTATGTTTAAAAGTTAATGTACACCACCTTGAACACAAAAAGATTGCAGAAAGCACTGCACAAAATAAAAACATGTTACAGATTTAACATGTTTTCCTGCAAAATACAAAGAACAATCAAATTATAATGGGTGTGGGGATGCAATGTCATGACATGCTAGAGGGTATTTCAATTACGTATAATTATAAGAAGAAAATCATAAAGAAACCTTCTAGTAGACTCGTCGGTGGTGCCTGCATCGCCGTCCAGTTCACCCCATTCATGCTCGAGTTCACTTTTTTCCTCATCTGCACTGTCATCATCAGAAGAACTGTCAGTTAGAAGTACTCCTGAAAAGAAATTATTTCAATTTATTAGAATTAGACGTTACCAATGCATATCATCCAAGTCTGCATTATAAAAGTAGCGTCAAAGATAACTATTCAAATGTAATGTACTCTTTGCTGTCTACTTCATTCTCTATTGTCTTACAAATGTGATTATGTAGTACAATAAAAAAATTACCCTTTTCATGACAAAGTTAGTAATATGTATCTATTATAATAACACTGAAAAGTCAAAAAACCTTATTTTTTCATTGTTGGTTTCATCATTATGTATTTACTTGTTGTGATAAATATATTTAAAAGTCTTTTACAAGTGGATGAACATAAGGGACTATTGGGTTCCTATTATATACATATATATATAATATAATAGGTAATAAAAAAAATATATTATAAATAATAAAAAATAAAGTTGTAAGGATTAAGATTATTTTGTTTTATAAGTTGAAACCATCTCTAATGTAATGTAATGTATATTTTATGATAAAGTAAAAATAAAATATATTTTTATAGCAGCTAAACTGCTAACTGACAGAAACAACATATAATATCACTCTTTAGGGTGTTATTTATGCTACTATGAAAATTTCCAGAGGCTTATTTACATAAATTCACTTATATTTGTTATATTATGAGTGTAGTCTGCTATACAGAAGATACATTTATACGTCACTACCAAAATTTTTACCTTCTCCACGGGCATAGTCAATATCTAAATCCAATAACCTTTGTTTAATTTTATGGTCAAGTTTAGCACGCACCAGTTTGTCATTTTGTAACTTATTAACATCTTGATTATTTTCCTCTAAATCTACGCTTGGTGGCCGTCTCACAAATTGACCGGGTATGCTACTATTCTGTTCCGATGGATCAGAGTTAGAGCCTTCGTTAGAACTATCCTCAGATTCATCCAATTCATAATATTTCCTCAAATTTTCTGTAGATGTTTCGCTTATTGGTCTTCCTCGTTTATCTACCGTATATTTCACTTTAAATTTCTCATCACTAAACATAGATTGAAACCTTTTATCAATTTTAACCTTTCTTTCATGTTTTGGAATTTGTTTGTAGCGTGGATCATTCAGATATTTTGTAAAACGATTGTCTTTTAGAATATTAGTCATGGTTTTAATTGTTAAATAAACAGCATACGTTTTTCCTGTAATAATTTATAATCACTATATTCACTGACTAAAAAATGTTAATAATTTATTTATAAAAATTGTATATGGGAACACGATCATGCTCATGTAAAACAGTGTCCATCCATGTGTGTTTGACAGTTAAGGTGACAGTTTGGTGACGATGTCATATGCTTACAGTGTTTATATGTTTCGAGTTTTTAGCGCAGCCTCACACTGACCGATTCTGTTCTGTTCTGCTATTTAATATCATTTTATCTGTGGTTCTACTGAGAATGGAAAAGAAAAGACTTTAAAAGAGGAAAGTTTATTCAATTATACCTTTCTAATGCATTTGGAAATAGTTATATATCTTCATTAATAATATTAGCAACATGACATGATATCGGCCATTCAAATATGAATCAAATCTTAAATAAAATAAAGATTTTCTAACGTAGATAGTTGTTCAGCCTTAGAATACACTTTGAAATTTATTTTCTAGCCTAAGTTACTCCTTATTACATCAGCTACCTGCCAAAAAACTGCCATCAATATCGGTTCAGCAATTTCAGAGATTAGCCGGAACAAACAAAACAGATTGACAAAAATTCTATAAAATGTTATTTTGGTGTTTACCGTATTTATATGCGTGTAATAAAAAAACGGTTATTTCAATATTACAAACAGACATTCCAATTTTATTTATATGTACAGATGTACAGATGAGCGACTCCCACTTCAATTAGATCATGCGCATGTCTTGTCCGTATTCGGTCGCGATGGATTCAGATTAAATTCCCTCTTTTTTCTGTTATAATTAGAACAGAACGGAATCGATAGGTATGGAGCCGGGCTGTAAAAGTCACTTTGAATGCAGCTGTCAAATGTTTCTGCTCTCTGTCGTCAGAGCTGTTTTGATCTGTGATACTGTGAAAAGATTTGTTTGAATGAACAGAAAAGAGTAAGAAAAAAACTAAGCAATTGAATGATTTAATTGTTTTATGATAGTATTCTTTGTCATGTATTGAAATTTATTCCTATGCGTTTTTTAAACTAAGTAGTACTGTTTGTGTAAGCATGAAACCCTTAATTGATTTTGATGAATGCCTCAGGGACTCTCCTAAATTTAGGTCGGTAATCGATGAAAGTTCGTAGAAAGTAAAATACTTTGCTTGTGAATAACAAATAAGTTAAACAAATTGTCACTTCAGGGAGCAGCTTGAAACTGAAGAAGCTAGTATTGATTCACTGGAACAGAAGCTGGATAAAGTTCTTAAAGCATGTACAATTATGATCGAGTCAGGCAAAACATATATGAGTCATAGAAGGTAAGTAATGTGTGCTACTTACTTGTTTTTAAAACTTCATCTATTATGCATTACGAAACATATGTTAAATTTCGGATTTTGTTGATTAGTTACTGATGACATACAATTTATGTTTTTGTTACTGTATTTGAAATAGTTGTAATAATTTAATAGAATATAAATTGGCAATAACATGAATCGTAGTCATTGGACCTTTCTCTGATCTATTTATTCATTGATGATTTCATTTAATTCTGCTTGCAGTATGGTAAGAGAGAATGTTGAGAGATAAGTAATATACAGAATAAAATCTCCGTCAGTTCAGAGTGCTTTTCAGCTAAGAACTGACATAATAGAACATGTTTTTAAATTTTTAAATTACAAGTACATAAACCTTAGTTTATGTACTTGTAATGAATTTAAAAACATTCATATTAGTCTTTAGTGCAATTTTCTTTTTGCATGAAGTGGTAGTATTTATTCCAGCATGTTTCAGAATGCCAACAGATTTAATATGCAGACACTTAGCTATGTATTAGGAATATTTTATTTTGTATATTTACACATTTTAGCAGGGATAACTGGAAAACACATTTTAACTGGGTTTGCCAGTTATCCCTATTATATAGGCAATTTTGTTTTCTTTTGAATACAGAATATATACAATTTATATATTTTAGCCATTTAAAAATATTAATTGCCAATTGAGATCTAAATATATATACATATTTTTAATTTCATTATATTTTACAAATTTTAGTTAATATGGCACATATAAAAATAGTTTCTTTTAAATTATATAATAATAGTTTCTAGTAAATAATTACAGTAAGCAGATGTTATGCTTTTTAAAAAATATATGTACAGTTTGGAAGGTAATAAAATAATACCTATTATTTGTGAAAGATTAACATTATCAATTGTACAATATTTATTGTTATATTACACATACTTTATTTAGATTAAGATACTAAATGTTACTTAATTATCTGTGTGTGTTGTAATTTCATAATGGATATTCATTACATTATTAAACATGAGAAGTTTCTTTAATAGATTTTTTATTTTTAATTACATAAAACTAGAAACCTTATTATGGCTTTCTTTGTACATCTTTAATTAATATAGTTTAACAATAATAAATAGTAAATAAATAATAACAAAGTACAACTTGTATATCACTATTTAACTAAATTACGCTTACAGTACTAATATTAAGTAACTGGTACACATACCTAAATCTAGAAACAGATTTACTTGGACATAAAATAATTAGTCTGGCTGTGTAGGTGTTCTTTAAATACATGTTAAGAATGTTAGATCTGGATATTATTATATTATATTTTTATCATGTTCCATATGCTTGGTTTATCAATAATCTTATTAATATTATAAATGCAAAAGTTTGTTGCTATGGAGGGATGTTTGTTAGTCTTTCACACAAAAAATAGTGAACAGATTTTGATGAAACATAACAGTAATATAGCTCATACATCAGAATTATACATAGGCTATAATTTAAAAGTTGTATATTATTTAAATTGTGTGAAATATGTATAATGTTAAATGTCAAGTAAGTGTAATGCAGATGAAGTTGAGCAGGTCAGCTAGTAATTTCATCTACAACATAGAGTGTTTATTGTAGTTCATTTGCAAATGCACTGTGGGATCTAAGTGGGAGCTTCTCAGAAGATTCATCAGTAATGGCCGCACTCAACCGTATGATACATGAACTGCAGGAGATGAACAAGTTCCACTCTATACTGTTGGATCAGGCATCAAGGACTGTAATGAAGAATCTCACAGCTTTTATTAAGGTGTAAGTGCATACTTTTGTTTCATTACCAATGTTTAATTTTGATTATGACAGGATATGTAGTGTGAATTGTCCTAAGATTATTATTATTACTTGTTATAATCAGTGTACTGTTTTGCCAGTATTATTAATTAATTATGTTATGAATAGATTATTTTATCACAGAGCTATGTATTGTAGTCATAGTGGTGGAGAGGGGTGCACGCTCCACCACCCTCAGATATAAACTGCAGTGAACCTCATCGGTTCATATGATTGGAGTTATATATGATTGGAGAACACATCTTTTATTATTATGTGTTCTGTTGTTACATATTCCATAGTTTGATTTTACATTAAATAACCAAATTCAATTATTCGAAAAATATTAGTATTATTTTATAATGTAAAAAAATAATATTAGCTTATCATCCCTGTTGGGGTAGTTGGAGATGGAGGCATTGTCGACATGGTGGTGAACGCAGAACTCATGGGTTTATTTATTTATATTATAATATACATAATCATACATTGATTTTCATATTGAGTTATTCATTCTATCTGTAAATATGATACCAGACACTTAAACATCCTGTTTAGGAGTTTAGTGTTTCAGTTAGGAGAATGGTGTGATTTTACAATTAAGTTATTGATTGACGTTAACTTTTTTATATAAGTGTGTATTTTGCTATCTATTGTTTTAGAGATATCAAAGGTGTCAAAGAAAGCAAGCATCATTTTGATAAAATCTCGAATGACCTTGACATAGCTTTAACAAGGAACTCTCAGGTGAGACCATTAAAGTTTTGCACACATATTATTTAGTTAATATTATATTGTTTGATTATATACTATGTTTATCTATAAGAACAAATTTAATTAAACTTAACAAATTTAAAACCTCACGAACACCACAATATTATATTATATAATATTGTGGTTTTCGTGAGGTTTTAAAACTGGCAAAACGAACGGACTCAATTTCCGATGGATACCGGTACCATTCAAACGGGGATCGAAGTTACTACGGCGTGAGCCTAGTATTGAAAATCTAGCCGTGTCCTCAGATGCTTTTTAGTTGGCTTACAACCACTCCATAAGGTGTATTTCCACTCCACTCCTTCCGCACGTTAGGAGTACCCTCTGCACTTGCCCCATTTTCGTCTGAAGCCGTAAAGGCTATCTACAGCTAAGAGCATTAGAATATTTTGAAAGAGGTCTATGCGCTTTGCGAAATATAATGTTATCACGTCTCAGTGGTCAAGTAGTCAAATCGACTTGCCGCCATAGGTACTGCAAAGGCTCTTTTTAATTAAGTAAAGTAAGTTGATAGAATTATAGCTATATATGTACGTAATTATAGGTGTCAAGACACAAATCAGCTGACGTGGAGGAGATAATGAATCTTTTGGTGGCTACGCGATCGTGCTTTCGGCACACCGCCCTCGACCATGTGCATAAGATTACAATGCTGCAAGTGAGGAAACGTCACGAAATATTGGCTACGGTAAGATTTCAATTATTTTCTAGTTGCCTAAAATGCAAAATGCTCATCCTAAACTATTCATCAGACTGTGAAGAATTGCTAGGATCTTTTGAGAACTCCGACGAGAGTTTCTAAACCAAAATATCTATATAAAAATTAATATCCGTAAGTGTTTGCATTATTGACTATTTGATTTTTAATCAATTAAGTAAGTTGAAATTAAATTAAAGTTGAAATGGATATCGACCACTCATAAGTTGCAATTCTCGAGTACTAAAACGTAATGCCGCCAAAGACTTATTTTATTAGAACGCTGTTCGTGGCATTGTAATCCGTGCCGGGTGTAACTACTTACGTATAAAATATTCATGTTTTGATTTAGTTATATACATTATCTTAGATTATGCTGAAAAATATTTGAAATCTCGTCTTTTCTTTTCCTTGATCTAATAATACGTAGTACGAACATTGATCGTTTAACTAATTTGGATATTTGAAATTGTCTACATATATATGTATGTACTTATGTTCAATATTAGATTTTTCTCTATTGCAAAGTTAGGTAGTTGTGCAGCCTGTACTATCCCCACAACTAAAACAAAACTCACGATACTTCATTCGTAAAATGCATCACGTCGATGACATACAAAAACAATCGATATTTAGCGATAAATAAGGTTAGGCCTATTTAGCTGACTTAATTTTAATTTGGGACATAGAAAAATAAGGATAAGAAACCTGCAAGTTACATCGACTTCCCATAATCGGTTAGGCTGAACGTTGTCACGCACACTTTCGCTTTCTATATTTGTTTCGCAATTTGTCATTACTCATACTATGGATATACTTTCAATTACTCATATGCGTTGGTCAAACTTACTTGATACGCCTGTTTGAAGTCTAATTGTTTTAAAATGCACGAGACTGTTCTAAATAGTTTGTGTGAAATTTTAAATATACAGGAACAGCTAACAGATTTTTTTAAATATATACAGATAAACTATGAGTATGTTATATATTTTACAAGATGAGAATGAAATCATTTGAATTAAGTATCTAATCTTAATATATTTGAATATGTTGCAAGTCATCCTTCTAATAATGTTTTTGTCTCTGACAGTTAGGTCAGCTGTAGCTGTTATTCTATTCATAACATTTTTTTGTTATATACGATTATTACGCATTTAGAATTTTTTATTGTCAGTCTTTCAAGGCATTAAAGAGTAATCCACTAAGAATAGTCTTATTTTATAGTTAGTAGCTTCGCGTTCGTCACATTTATTTATCTAAGATCAATATGGGTAAGCTGATAGATAACTGTGTCTGTTCATCAGGCCTTAAATACCTTATAGTTAGTATATCAGTATTAGTATAATTATATACAGTACTGCTGCTAATTCGAGCAGCTGTTTGCATTTTAAGCTGTAATTTTAAACATCCGAGGCCACAGGGCCACCAGCTATAAAGTTTGTATCATTTTCTTTAAAAATATTATTGTAATTCTTATATTTTACAATATTTAATGTTGCTATGACGCAGACATTACTTAATGATCATAATACATACAGTACCATGTATACTTTGAATTTAATTACCTAATTATGACCCGAAGGTAGAAACACATTGCAGCGGATCTTCCTTTGTACGGTTACATGCACACATAACAAGAAAAATACATTTTGTGTCTTATGTCTAGAGGATAAAACTTGCATTTCTTTAATCGAGCAGTTTTATAGGTAGGAACCACCTTCAACGTTATACTTATGGTTATACGTGGGAATTTGTATCCACTTATACATTCGTTTTGTATCGTGCAATATCATTATAAAAAGATGACTCACACGTTTGTTTTTATTCGTTAGTTGCAGATTTATTTGCATCGTTTACCTCATTACATTACTGTAATAAGTAGGTAACTCTTATTACAGTAATGTAACGTATAATGAGATGATAAAATTCCTATGTACCTATATAAAAGTATATCTACTTTACACGACTATCGCGAAGTTTTGATTGTAGCAGTTTTTTATTTGCGTCTTCTAGATTTATTTGCGAACCATAGAACGTTTTATTTGCAAATATATAATATATTTAGACAAAATAAAGTTAGATTTTTTTCTTTTACCAATATCATAACATATTTTTTATAATAACACTATAATTAGGTACTAGGCCGACCTAATTCCTAAAGGTGGTCGGCCTAGTGCCTAATTATAATGCTATTATAAAAAAAATGGGAACCACGGCATTGAACAATCATATACAAGATAAAAATGTTAATAATAATAGTAACCCAGGACAATTCACACTGTGCTTAATTAATGCACATAAAAATATTTTTCCTAAGCTTTTCGTGTCTTTTTGGCTAGCCAGCAAAATAGGGTTTATATAAAATCCTATTCTCTACCTCTTCGCATATTATATATCCGTACACAAATAGTAATGAGCATTTGGATCCAAGCTCGAACCACGTCCTTTCGTAAACACGTTTGCAATCACTGTATATAATCTCTATGTAGGTATATATATAAAGATACAGTTGAATTGTACACTTCCTTTTGGTAGTGCGTTGCCAATTTTGATAAGTTATCTATAATCATGCTATCACATTACTCATTAGTACAGTTGTACCACCTAAATATGAATTTCAATGTAGTTTTGTAAGTTTAACACTTCCAAGCAAGGCTACATCCATTTATTTGTAAGTAAATCGCGCGCGACGTCTACCAGCGACAGTTATGTATTGTGTTGCTCAAGCCATTCAATATTTTCGTGTAACTGTATTTATACTTCACTGAATCTATAACGAATCTTGAAACATTGTTCACCGTTTCGTGAAGACGTCAATTGCTAACTAATTATAGGTAACTGTGCGTTGAAAATGTATATTTTTCGATAATAGTTCAATCTAGAGTTTACAGATTTTGTTTAGTTATGATCATGTTTCTGATTTTTATTTACTTGTTTTTTATCTCAATTTATTATGTGATACTAATGGCCTGCTCGGCTTGATCAGGATAATCCGGATATTGTGAGTTTTGTATATATGAGTTAACAATATAGCCTATATAATTCTGGAATAATATAATGTAAGGAGTCTGGAGTTTACTTTCCTGAGATAACTTATTAGTGATAGATTAGTATACATAGATAGTAGTCTATGTATACTTTATCTAATGTCTAAAATATTATTGATTTCAGTTCTTATCGTATCTACAAGCGTGTTGTACTTATTACCACCAAGGAGCCGATCTTTCTGAAGACTTAGAACCATTCCTCAGAACAACAGCTGAAGAAGTATGTACCCACTAAATCTCTTTTTAATCAAAAATAACAGTTATGCACCTATTTAATTTATTTGTTACTTTAAATGTCAGTAATAGAATTCGACATTACATGAAGTAATCGGCCATTACATGCTATTGTAGTTTATTATTTCAATAAAAAACTATAATTAGTCGCGCCTAATAATCAACTGCATTAAATAAAAAATAAAACTTTACCTGCACCCGCCTGTGCTAACGAACGATAAGATGAGTATGTGGTCAGATCACTTAGCCCACCGTGACAAATTCACCAGGAAGTTACCGCGATGATTTCCAGGCGGAACCGCGTTGAGGTCAACGTGACAGGGTAAATTGATGGCTATGGGGTAATATGTCCATATTACTAACAATCCCGTTCCCCTGAAAAGAAGTTATTAAAATCTTTATCTGTTAAAAATGATCTGCGATAAAAGTTAATTTATTGGAACAAATCGAAACACAATATATTAATAGAAATATTCAATACAATTACATATTGATTTTTCAATCGTACTGGTATCAATACCACTAAACAGTCTGTGGTCGGGTCAGTGACCTCTTTGTTTACCTTTTGTTTTCTAGTTCTATTGGAACAGTGTATAGTTCTATTTTCTATGCATACATTTTAATATGTCAATTAGTAGAGAAATTGAGAGTGGTCGTTATATAAACTATTTTAATAACTCTTATAAGTAATAAACGCTAATCGGTAAATTTTCAGGTTTCAACTATGCGTAACGATACTAAAACGCTCGATAAAGAAATGGAGAATCGTCATACGATCGTTAATAGTAAGGACACAGTGTTGCCGAGCTGCAAGACGAGCCAGCAGGAGAACGACACCAAAGATGGCTTACTTGGTACACCGTGCCTGAAGAATATGCCGAGAATGCAGGGCTACCTTTTCAAGAGAACGTCAAACGCTTTCAAGACGTGGAATAGGAGATGGTTCTATTTGTATGACAATAGACTTGTATATAGGTATGCATTTTTAAATTTTGATTTATTTTATTAGGGTGCATAGCACATAGTTTCAATATTTAATTAAGAGCATAATTTCAATTTTTTATGTAATTGCAATCAAGCTAACTGCCTGACTGTGACCATTGCTTATATAACAGCACACGGACATCACTTCATCATGTGATGACCGTGGTACCTATGCATCAATAAAATCTATATATAATTTACAACTTGTACAATGTTTTCTCTGTTACACTGTGGCATGCAGATTAATATTAAATGATTTATATAGGTAACTGTGATCTGTGCAAACTTCTACCTTCCATTGTTTATGGTGGCATAACAATTATGCAAATATCAGTCACGTTCCAAGGTTCCGGTTATAATTTGTGACACGCACTCACACCTTAAAATGTATGTGATTAAAAGTGACGATATATATATAGTATAGTGTTGTTATGAAAACATCACTATTGATAATATATAACTATATTATTTAAATTAATTTCATATTATTACGAAGTTAAATAAATAACCCTGGACAGCGCTATCTAGTCCCACGGTTTGTTATGGGTACTAGACAACTGATATAAATACTTCGATACTTTTTTTATAAATACATATATAATATACGTAGACAACATCCAGACTGATACAAACAATCATAGTCATGCATATAATGCATGAAGTCTGCTATTTCACGGGTTTTTTGTATTGAGTTTAGTGTTACACTAATAATTTGTGGAAATCTTGACGGCTGAAATAGGTAAAATTGAGGTACTCACGCCGACGATTTTTGACAGTCTACCTCGGTATAATTTTTTTTTTACATTTTGTACTATCTGTTTTATGAGACAATATTACACTGTGTTTAAGGAAACGGACTGGTGAATTAAATGTAACTGCTATGGAGGAAGACCTGCGCTTGTGCACTGTAAAACCGGTCCACGATGGTGAGAGGCGCTACTGCTTCGAAGTGCTATCACCCTCCAAGTAAGTATTATCACAAGAGTAGAAATACAATTAGGATATACTATGCAGTGCTGGGCATGAAACCTGATAAACCCGATGGGTTAGAAAATATAAAAAAAATTAATGTGTGCCAAGTGTGCCTTCTTTTGGTATTTACGTACCTTAGTTAAATATGTCAATACTAGTATGCTCACAGAACAACAAATATATACGTACTTAGATACTTACTTTAATAGATACAATATATAATATAGACCAATAAATATAATGTATATATGCAATTTACAAAGAAATTAGTAATATATATTATATATGGCAATAGTTAACACTAATTTTTCATTTATATTTTTTTACAGGAGTCACATGCTTCAAGCAGATTCCGAAGAAATGCTGAACACGTGGATTTTAGCATTGCAAAATGGCATTAGGTCTGCTATACAACAAGGTCAGAGTCGCGACAATCCTGACTCGCAACTGGTGTTAGTGCCGGACGATAAGCCCAGCGACAACAAACACAGCCCCGCCATTGTACGAATGAGGAAAATAAGGTAATTGTTACTCAGTTATTTTACTCGTTTATATATTTCATCTTAACAATAAGTTAATGCAGGGGAAGTAAAGTTTTTAATCAAGGCGCCAAAAAGTAAAGTTTTGTTTTTGTATACACAAAGTAATAATGCCTATTAACAATGTTTTGTAGGTATTTTTATAATAAACAATAGAATAATAAATATGAATATAAATTTTAATACAAAAGCTTGTACGAAGAAGACGCCAACAAGTGAGTAACTTGTCAAAAAAAAATATTTCGGTTTAGTATGCACTACCATTTCATTATAATAAATATTATAAATTATTATATATCCCATCAATATATTAATATTGATGGGAAAAAGTAGATAAAATAAAATAAATTAAATTATAGTAATGCTTGGCAAGCCGCATAATCATGTTTAACTGTCCGCTAGCGACTCGTGGACGCGTTTTGCTCATCCCTGAGTTTATGGATTACCATTTACTTATTATTTACATAAATAAAAATGTCAATGAGATAAAGTACCCTAAAGATGTGTAACTATGCTGTAAGTTGTTGTGAGAATATAAAAACACTGAATTACATATCTCAAGCTCAAGATAACTTAAAAATATTTATTATTACTTTTATCAATAATGTTTAAATGCGATTTTTCGTCGACATTAAAAGCCGCGCGCGGCTATTGATGTAATCTTGCACGCCCACTGTTTAAACATGTGTTAGGATTAAATGACAGTGGGACGTATTACAAGATAGACAAATAGATAGATAGACAAGAAAGTGACGATGAAACTGCGAATATCCGTTCTAAGTATATATATATAATATCAAATATAAAGTCAAAGTTTATTCCAGGATTTGGGAGCAGTTACTCAATATTCCTGGTAACAACAACTGCTGTGATTGTGGCAGCCCCAACCCCCGGTGGGCGAGTATCAACCTTGGTATTACACTTTGTATAGGTGAGTAATAGTAATAAGATCATGCAATCACCGTTAAACATAATTTGTAAATCTATATTAATATTTACAGTGGTCAAGTTTGTATGTTTGTTTGTTTGTTTGTTTGTTTGTTTGTTTGTTTGTTTGTTTGTTTGTTTGTTTGTTTGGGGTAATCAATCGTTCTACTTATCTAATTTTAAATATTCTTTTACAGTTAGAAAGGTATATTATCCCCGAGTGCTACAGGTTATCCATACTAATATTATAAAGCTGTAGAGTTTGTTTGTTTGAACGCGCGAATTTCAGGAACTACTGGTTCGAATTGAAAAAATTGTTTCTTTATGTGCTAGACAGTCCATTTGTTGGGGAAGGCTTTAAGCTGTATAACTTTACGCTACGACCAATAGAAGCGAAGCATCAATGAAAAATGTTACAAAAACGGGGAAATTATTCATTTTTGAGGCCTTCCATTCCGTGCGCTTCGTAAACGATTCAAGTGACCCAAAAAATATGTTTGAAAGAATTATTCTTCTTTAAATGATCTAAAAAAATGTACGCGACGAATCGCGATAGTGTTTTATATATATATATATATAGATAACCACATTGTATAATATATATAACATCATGCTACGATTAGTAGGAGCAGAGCAGCAATAAAAAATGTAAACAATATTGGTTAGAAATGCTTCCGCTGCGTAAACGGTTAAAGTTACGCAATTGTATTTATGATCGCCAATTATTTGTGATATAATTTTGTTATATTTTCTTCTTTTTCCAATAGGTTCATCATGCTATTATTTGTTTTAGTAAAAAAACACTGGTCTAATATTTTGTTAATATTTAATCAATTACATTATTTGGGATTCTGGCGTTAACATATCCAAATAAAATCCGTGGCAGTGAGATTATATTTATAATAAATGAATAAAAAAAATATTTTTTATAATATGACTGTTTATAATATGTTGCAAATATTTTGTATGTCTATTGCTATTTCAGAATGTTCAGGCATACACAGGTCCCTTGGAGTGCACCTCAGTAAAGTGAGATCATTGACATTAGACGATTGGGAACCAGATATCATCAAGGTAAAGAACAAACCTCCTTTTATACCTTATTTTTTATCTATCTATACTTATAAAGTTGTATAGTTGTTTTATTAACACATGATTAATATTACTAAAAATAGAACATACATATTTTAAAAAAGCAAGAAAACACACAAATAATTAATTACGAATATAACTTTTCTTTTATACATAGACAATGAAAACTCCTCTCAGAACATTTTTTACAAGTAGTAGTAAATCACTGGGTTAAGATGTATATATGTATATGTAGGTGATAGCCTAGTGATTAACTATCCCTAATTACACCAAACAGGTCATGAGTCGAAATATAAAACTAACATTTCTTATTGATTCACTTGTGAAGTAAACACTAATATCAAACCAAAAATGTATCCAAATAAGTATCAAATTAGTCAGTTCTTTTCCATATTTACTAATCAGTTCCTTTGTTTTACGTCTAAAATCTATATGTTTACAGGTAATGGCGGAATTGGGCAATAAGATAGTGAATTTAATATACGAGGCGAACACTGAAGGCACTACTATTACTAGGGCAACTCCGGACTGTGAGACGTAAGTGTGCCTTTACTATTGTATGCACTCACTTGTACGTAAATCTTACAATTCCTGTAAGCTATATATATTCATATGGTTGTAGCTTATTAAATTTTATACAATATTATAAATATTATTTCAATATGTCGGACTATAATTACATTTAGTTTTGTTCAAAATATGTTAGCTACAACTATTTTTAAGAAACAATTTTCTCAACATTATATCGACAACTGATAAGTAGGTCCAGAATATAATCGTAATTTTTATTTCAATCTACTTTTGTATTTTTCTTTTAGAACATAATCAAGAATAAATTGAATTCTCTCTCATTAAACACAGAATAATAATAATGCAAAACTGCGTCCAATCCAATGCCGTAATACTATATCGTTTGGTCAGGCTATGTCATTGTTGCATTATATGTGTATTATATAATGCGGTTGCATTCACATGCGTACAGTACGTCATAACGTGATTAATTTGTTAGTTATGGAAATAGAACCATAATGTAACGTTTTTTAATTGTTATAGGTCAGTTCGAGAGGCGTGGATACGCGCGAAGTACGTATCGCTGTCGTTCGTTAAAGACATCGTGAACATGGGCGGAGCGGAGCCGGGCGCGGAGTCTCCGTTGCGGAACGGACGCCGCTGGTCGGTACGGCGTGCGCGGCGCAGGTATTTGTTTTAAAGTTACAACTGAGAAACTTATAGTCTGTTTTTTTAATCCAAATCAGAGACAAATTAAATTACCAATGTTGCAAGGTTTTTGCCAATTTTAAATACTGTGGCACTATCGGAAATATATTAATTACCTATATTTATAGGTTACTGAGAAATAATGTGTTTGTTTAAAACGCATGATCACAAAATTAATAAATATAGGGCAGTTGTATCAAAATAGATTTATTATTTTTCACTAAAATAAATACTAACTGCCTTTTTTTATAAAACAAATAACCTTCGTATGGTGTTATATCATATAACATACATTTATTTTTAATATTTTGCTGTTTGAAAGAAAAAAATATTAGTTTGTATTATCATACTGTAAAATTTATTAATGATGTTGTATAATACAACGAGAATAATGAAAACACTAGTATATGTACGTATATTTTGTTGCGGAAGGGTCATGTAAAGCATTAAAACTACTATGTTAATTTAAAAATTAATGATTAAACAAATCTAGCCCCTGATATATGGCGGTAACATTGTTTAAAAATTTGACATTTACAGCTGTCAATTTAGTCTCCAGGAATAAAAAGAGACTATAGATTGATATGTGCATAGAAGAATTTTTATTTGAATCTTAGTACACACATATGGGCTTAATTATGCCGTATGCTTGTTTGCCACCTAGTAGTATAAAAAAAAAAATTACAAATACTTGTAGTATATAATATTTTTAACCAATCCAACACAATATAGGTAAACCTGCATGTGTGTGCTACAGTAATGCAAAAATTTTAAAATCTGTATATCAAGTTTGGACGTTGGAATTGTCGTGACAAATTTAATTATGATATTTGTATATGAGCCTAGAGGTGTAGGTTAGCTTTTGTTTATCTTTTGCATGTGTAAAGTCAAATACTGTGAATAGGTATATGTCAAAGAATGAACTGATGTATGTATGTGTTTGACGCTATCATTAATAGTTTTCGAACTCACAATACATTCTTAATTTATTCTCTTTTTGCCAAAATAATCTTAATATTAATAACTTAGTTTTGATCACATCGGGCTATGTTCTGAAGTGGAGATGTATGTTATTAATTTTTTTTTAGAGGATGTTAATGGAATGGTTCGCTAACGGTTTATGCTGGCGGGGCACCAGTGGAGGATGATAAGATGAAGTCAGATCAGTTAGCCCAACGTGACAAATTCACCGGGAATTTATCACGATGGTTTCCAGGGGGAACCACGTGGAGGTAGACTTGACATAGTAAATTGCTAGCAATGGGATCATTAGTCCACATTACTAACAATCCCCTCCCCCGTGTATGTTATTAATTATATGAATTTAATTAATTATAAACAAATATTTTTGTATAACACTCCATATGTACAATTGAAGATAGACCCGGGCTGATTGATATCTACCGGTGCCACTAATGATGCGCTTAAACAATGTGCAAACTAAAGTCATATATTAATTATGGTACAGTTTTGATTACTAACTAATATTCTTCTACAATTAATCTTCATTCTTTTACAGGGTCCGTGCACCACCTGTAGTACCTGAGACTATTCCCGATGAGAAAAGTGATGCCAACAGTAATACTAGCGGTAAACAGTTTTTTTTGTATGATACAGGCACAATATTGTTAGAACTGTCCACATAATGGAAAGTAGTAACCTTTTACTATATATATATGAACAGTATCGTAAACATTAAAATGCGTTGCTCACTAAGTTTGTAATGTCAATGACATCTTATTATTGTAGATCCTTAATATTCTCTATGTTTAAACCTTCCAAAGACAATTATAATATAAACCCACTGTAGTTGGACTAGAATATCACCATTAAAGATATAAAATAAAGTATAGATCTGTTATTTATAGGTTCGGCGTCGGAAAGCTCAAGTAAGAGTGACGAGAGTCCGGTGCTGGTGATAGGCAGCGAATTGGCAACTGACCGCGACGTCGACCTCAGCCTACCCTCTGATCACGAGTCCACTGAGGGCGAGGATACTGACGATTTAGGTACGACTTGTTCTTTTGGAGTATATTAGTTTTTCACGTGACTGTATGTTTTTATTAATTAATGATTGGTGTGGTGCGTCTACTTGTGTTAAAGGGATATGCTAATATGTCACATGCCCGTTGCTTGCTCTTATGAGCTAGAAATTAAGTCATCATCATTGCGAATTAATATGGATATTTTTTTAGACTACTCCAAGGGGCAGAGTGCAGATGGCATTCCAAATCCTCAGAAGGACTTATGGAGTCGTAACTGTTAGGCGGGAGTGGTCAACTCCCGCCTAACGGATATGACTTTACTCTGAGGAATTAAGCTGGAATCGAGACGTGCAGGACCATGCGGACATCGTACTGACATTGTATATAGCTGGCAATACTAACAATCCCGACGTGTACAGGTCCGGAGGAGATGTGCGGCCTGTCGGCGGGAGCGGTACTGGCGCGAGCGGCGCGCGCGCACAACGTGGCCGTGATGCGCGGCGCCCTCGCCGCCCGCGCCGACCTCCACCACCGCCACCTGCGGCTGCGCACGCCGCTGCACGCCGCCGTGCTCAGCGTACGTATACACAGTACATACACAACGTGGCCGTGATGCGCGGCGCCCTCGCCGCCCGCGCCGACCTCCACCACCGCCACCTGCGGCTGCGCACGCCGCTGCACGCCGCCGTGCTCAGCGTACGTATACACAGTACATACACAACGTGGCCGTGATGCGCGGCGCCCTCGCCGCCCGCGCCGACCTCCACCACCGCCACCTGCGGCTGCGCACGCCGCTGCACGCCGCCGTGCTCAGCGTACGTATACACAGTACATACACAACGTGGCCGTGATGCGCGGCGCCCTCGCCGCCCGCGCCGACCTCCACCACCGCCACCTGCGGCTGCGCACGCCGCTGCACGCCGCCGTGCTCAGCGTACGTATACACAGTACATACACTGTCTGTTTTTAATTGAACTGTATTTTTATAAAAAATATTCTTTTGGAATTAACTATTGCACTTCGCATGGGAGTTTTTTAATATCGCCCCGATTGAATTTCGGTTTTTTATATGGAATGTGAAATTACTACCGACTCAGTCAATTTCCATTTCTGAATAACGAGTGAAAACTTGTACGATGAAGTTACCAACTATTTTATTTTGTTTGCACATTGTTTAGGGTTCCGTGATGGCATGTTCATTCCTGTTACTGAACGGCAGCAAGCTTAATCTACAAGACGAAGACGGGAAGACGCCGCTGCATCTCGCCACTGAAGCCGGGAATACAGGACAGGTAAAATTATTCATATTATATCTGAAATAATAAAAGTATAGGCATCTGGACCATTATTTTAATGCCATTCTCTTGTAATATGTACCATTTTATTATTGTGTAAAAAGATCAGTCGAAATGTTAGAAGATGACGATTGTTGTCTATAACTACATTACTGAACCGATCTTAAATTGCGCTGGTCATGATGTCAGAATATTGTGCATTTCTTCTTAATTGACATTCAATAATATAATTTCCAATTCCAGTTGTGTGACTACATCTGCTGCACATATTTTTGTTGCAAAACGTTAACAAGCCACGATAATCAGTGCATGAGAGATATTATGTACGTCACCATCTATTTTATTATGAAGTTCGATCTCTGTAAGCGACACTTACCACTTTCCATTAAGTGCGCCGTCAACTTCCCCATTTTCGTTACATAAAGAGAGGTATAATTAAATATATTTGTTGTCAGGTGTGCCTATTACTGCGTTATCGCGCCGACCAGTCGATTGTTGACAACGAAGGTCAGACGCCGCTTGACATAGCCGTCAAACACGCAAACGCAGATATTGTCACATTGTGAGTATATATTTGATTCAATTATTCAGTCAGTCATTTTGTACTATTGGTAGTAGAATTATAATATCCTTGGACATTTTACACAGCACCATCTAGTCCCAAGTTAAGCCGAGCTTGTGTTATGAGTACTAGACTATATACTACATGATACTATTTTTTATAAATATATATAATATATTATACATAATTAACACCCAGACCAATACAAACAATCATATTCATGAATACAATTGTTTGTAACGTCCGAAGAATCGAACCTGCGATCATCGGAAGTAAAGCGGTGTTCTAAACCGCTAGACAACCAAAGCCATCTGTAGTATGGATACTACTGCAGATTATCTAACTTTTAATGTAGCCCTTTGTAAAGTCTGCTTCAATCTGCTTAAAAAGCCTTTTGGCAATGTGGGATATTTATTTTTATGTCAAATTTTATCCATAAATCGTGCAGCCTTTTACACGCTGTACTGTTTGTTTTCCTAAAACTTCTTAAAACGCACACCACTGTTTTCACTCGTCGGTTACAGCGTTATGGCCGGTTGACGTTGGCAGTGTGCGCTAGAGACGACATAATGCTTCCTTGTCTTTCCCACATATATTATACACACCATTTCTGCTATGAAGCAACATTATTGGCAGATTACCGTCGACAGTCCCGTGACCACGGAGACAATTTATATTTTATTATTTATAATATGGGCCGTTAGTAGCCTGACATAAATAAATAAATAAAATAAATGACTTACAAGCCGTGTTCAATTTTAATATGGCAGTGAAGTTACAGAGTACAGATAAGATGGTAATTCAAAGGTATGATAACATATAAGTGGTTTGACGGGCATTAGCTAACGATGTTCTATCTGTGGTGCCACTGAGATAAAAAAAACATAATAGTGTAGGATTGTTTCTCTTATAAACCCATAACTTATGTCAAATACATATATTATATGAGAACACTGATACTTATCGCACAGGTGTAATATCTAGTTTAGGGTCATCATATTGTATTGTGCAACTTTCTGCCATTTCAGTCATTCACTAGAACCAACATAAATTGTTGTGTATTGCTCCTTTTTAAATGTTGTAATTTTATGGTATATACATATAAAATATTAATATAATATCAAATAACATTTTGTAAAGGTTGCGTCTAACAAAACTGAACGAGGAGATGCGTGAGAGCGAGATGTCTTCTAACGATGATACATACAACGAAGTGTTCCGCGATTACACGCAGCTGGCTCACTCGCATCCCGAGCGGCTGGTGCGTGCAAGGCACAACAACAACGAAGGTATGTTACATATGTACCAATTTATATCGTATACACGTTTTATGTATATACATGTTTACATCTTACGTTATACGTATGAAAGTTTTCGAAACTGGTTTTATACGTGTATGTAGAAAAATATAAATACTATATGTACTTATATTTTTCTATACAGTATACTCAGATCTCTTCAGTTAAAAATGGAGGAGATTTTTATATTAGATGATAATGAAATGGTGCGTCATCTAGTCAAAGAGCTTGTGTTATGGGTAACACAAGCTCTTTGACTAGATGACGTTCCGTGAATTGTTCAGGGGTATTACTATTAGGAATCTTACTTTTATTCCCTATGATAGGTGAGCAACCGACAGAATGACCACTTGACAATAGAGGTCGGCGACTTTGGCTGTGGTAACGACGACAACATCGACGGACTGCCTGCGGTAGTTGAAGAATTATGTGTTCCACAGGCCGTTCCACTTTGTTATAATGTCACGATATACAAGTATTTATATTTTAATTGAATGAAAAATTGTCTTTTAATTAGATATCGACTTATTATGCTTGATTATTAATTAAAATATATATGAAAAGTGTTTTACAAGTACAATAATGAGATTGTTATTATGTATATATTGTTATGTTTTATACTTCAATTGATTTTGACAAAAATCAAAGTTAGATATTGTTTGTACCTCTATAAAACGTTAAGAATATGGTATCTTAGTTTGGCTAAAAATTTAGGTATTACTTAATACAAAATGTCACAAGTGGTTATATTTAGTATTTGTCGCTAACAAATTGATTTGCAAAGTATATTGTTTATGTGACATTAAAAAAAAAATCTAAATTTTGTTTTATGTATGTGTAATAGGTAAAAATTGTTTTAAGTCGATTTTCACATTTATTATTCAGGTGCAAGTTGGTATCTCGGCTTTGTATTAACTTATCAAGAACATTGGTTATAAATATTCTTTCAGGTTTACATTATTATAAAAAAAAACATATGTAAATGTTCAATGTGAGCGAATTTACTGCTTGTAATCCAATTACAAATTTTTCAATATAAATAATTTATTTAAAACTACTCGATTATGATTTCGTCTCATTATTTGGGATCGGCGCACTGACTTCTCATTGTTCACTAAAATTTAACAGTACGTACCTACTGAATAATGTATTTTTTAAATTATTATCAATATCGGGTGGCTCAGGTATATCTATATTTATACTAGTTGTAAGAACTTTGGATTCCTATATCAAGCATAATAATGTTATATTGATCAAGTGATTTTCTTTATCAGTTTATGTCGAACAAAAACTGATGTTTACGTTAATTATAATATTTTGTAATGATCTCCACTAAAATTATTCGAGGCTTTTTATAATATTGCAAACGAAATTTAGAACTATTTATACTACCTAACCACATATTGGAAGAACACCACTATTGTCGTTTCGTACTTGTTTTGGTGCTTTTGTACATTTGCGTTTCCAATAAATAATTAAATCAGTTCACATTGACTGCCTACATTTTCTGTCATAATTTGAAAGCACTGAAACAATTTTAGAAATAACTGTAGTATCTTGCAGTGGATCAACTGCTTCATAGATTTTAAAATGAGGCTAGAATCATAGTAAAGTCTTCCGCATTGCCAAGTTAAAATATATAATATGAAGCTCGCAATCAATGATGAATCAGCGAATTACATTCCAACGGTTACGCAATTACAGTTATTATTTTAGATGCCTTTGCTGTGTGTCAGTTTGTGATGTACACACACTTGTAGTAGCGTGTGTATGTAGCATAAAATTTGGTTTGGGCCAAAGTATTTATTTATTTACATAAGATTATATATGTAGTATGAAAATCATTAAATGGATATCGTGGATGTATAATTTTTTAACAATAGTGGGATTTTTATGTGTCAGTGTAATTCAACATACAGACGCATGTCGCGTATGTAAACTATTTAATCACGGCACAGGTAAACTCTTTAAGTATTTCATGTTGTTGGTGTAGTAGTACTATTTCAAAGTACTAAAGTATATGTCAATATAAATGCACCTGACTATTGCTTCTCACGGCTATAATAAATAAATGTTTACGGCCATATTTGTTGCATATTGGTGTAATGTATTTATAGCAAACCAAAGATTTGAATATACATTTTGGGATATGGGTATGTTATTATAATTGTTAACTGTTGCGTATTTACATATATAATGGCCTATATTACAAATGTGTTAGTAGATATCGATATGTGTATTGTGTGACATTATTGATTAACTATTAGTGAGTTTAATCTTGCCGCTTTTTATACTTTATTAAAGAAGAAAAGCGAATGTTACAGCATTTGCATATAATAATAGTTACATTCAACATTACAAAACGTTCATCATTGTTTTAATTATGTAAGACAGTTGCCGACATAAATAACCTTTTTACAGTTCGATTTCGTACACCTATCAAAATTTTCAATTTAAATGTATTAGAAACTAGTTCTTTCAACTGCACTACATAATTAAGGCACATATTGCAATAAAAATTGTATAGTATAGTGGAAAAGATTCTTAAATATCACTGCTTAAAAGTATAGTACGTCATTCTAAGTATCTCAGTCTTCTGTAGGTCTTCAACCAGTGAGTGTTGCCAGTGATGACTTCTGTAACCAAAATATTACTTCTTTGTGCACTGGATTTTATATAAATATATATAATTAATATAGTAGCAAGGAACAAAATAACATTCCATATATTTGATAGCATTTCTTTATTCTCTAGCTTCTGATTCTAATACTGCTATGAACAATGGTTCTTAACAACATAAAGTCATTCCGAAGTGATATTGCATTTGTCAATTAGACTGTTTCGTTTATCAATTAAATTGAATCTCAAAGTATGATATAAGAAATCATATATTTTTATTATTGTTTTATGAATTATAGATTTTATAACGGTATGTATTAGGTGTTATGACAATTTTCACTTGCCAATTTTTCTATTAAATTCTTGTAACTCGGCGTATGCATTTACAAATGAGTATACAATTTAAATAGAATTTTATACGCAGCCTCACAGTTTGGATGAATTTATATAATTGTAAGTCTAGGTTAATGTATCATTGTTAATTGTTTACGAAATTATATTTAATCATATTGATACGTACGGAATTAAATGTGTTGTTACATTTTTTGCCTGTAAGTTTTACAATTGCATTGTTTGCTCTTTATTATAAAAGTAAAATTGTGTTGTAGACAAAGTAGAATATAATGATTACAGCAAGCAAGTTATCTCGACTTTGCCAAAATGTATTAAATTGAAATAATATGAATATATTTCCGGTATCAGCTATGGTTGAATTTTGAAGATGTTAGTTCGTCTAACTCTCTTTTATCTTTTATGTTATGTGTAATATAATAAATAATATCTATTTTAGCGATTTGGAAAGGTTCTACATTATGGCCCTAAATGTATGTTGTAACATACCTTTCGAAAGGAAATCTACAAGGATAATTCTTTTAACAAGAAGAGCATAGTTTTATGGTTTATTCATAATAGAAACTATAGTTTTATTGTTTCATGCAATGATTTTGTATAATTGATAAGATATTATAATTAAAAACTAGAGGGTGCGTGTGTGCGCGGGCCTCAAGAGGCCCGCGAGGCGTTGTCGTTGATTTTTTTTGTGAAGACGGTTTTCTTTTCGAATAGACTTAGTTGGCAAGTAGAGTTGTCTGTTTTGATACGATTAGGTGACTTCCTATTGTAACAGTGAATTTTTGTTTCACGTGTACCATCTGTAGAGAAAAAAATACTTTGTCATTTTAATGGTCAAATACAAAACCTAACCTAACTTACCTTTCTGTATACTATATTAGTCTGGGTTAAGTCAAAGTTTTTAATGTAGAGATCATAATACGAAACCTAACCTAACCTACCTTTTTGTTTACTATATTATTCTGAGGGCATAATTTCTACTGTAAGAGTCACAATACAAAACCTAACCTAACCTACCTTTCTATATACCATTTCGACCTGTGCCTTTAATTTTTATTGCAATGGGCACAATACAAAACTGCATTACCTACCTTTCTGTATACTATATTAATTTGGGTTCACAGTTTTTAATGTAGAAATCATAATACAAAACCTAAACTAAGCTACCTTTTTGTTTACTATACCATTCTATATACCATTTCGACTTTTTATTTTTTTTTATTTTGACTTAGCTACCCGGGTGACAAAAACATTTCGTCCATACATTGTCAACTTGTCTTTCTAATAGTTTACTATGAAAACCGTTGTAACAACTTACATCGGTTTTCATAGTAAAGTTTTCCAAACAATTTTGATAATTTATATTTTATTATTTATAATACGGGCCGTTAGGACCTATGATAAATAATAAAATAAATGACTTTTTAATTAAAATATCATAAATATTAAAATCGGATAAGTTTAATTAGCGCTGGCAATACTAAGATTCAATGCCATCCCATAAAAGCGATGACTATCTGTGGTTACCATGTACCATAATAAAAAAATCTTCCAAATTTTGTTCAAAGTCATTGTTCTTGGATTTTTCCATTTTGATAAATATGACGTATATATTACATGACGACAGATATATTATCGTCCATATATTGTACAGAGACATATTGTATTTTGCAATATTCGGTCATTTCCTTAGTAAATATTACTTTCTACGAAAATCTATGCATGGTGTTGCCCCTAATTTTAAAAAAATTGCATAATAACTATAAAGATGAGATTTATTATAGATATCAAATAACATTTTAAAGGTGTTAAAATGTCGGAAAAAATTTCCCACATTTAAGGTTTGCAAAATTACCCAAAAATCGGGGAAAATTTGTAGCCTATATAATAGTTAACGTCTTTGCTCCATAGAAGTAACTGGTGCGTGTAAGGAATAAAATACTTACCCCAAAAATGAGTTTTAAAACGTCCCTAAACTTGTCATCGGGATATAAGTTTACATCTAACTCGGCCGTATCTTGAATGATTCCTTTTTAAATAGTTTTAACATATACATCTTCAGGTGAAAAATTTAAATCCATACATTGTACAGATTTTTCAAGGTATCCTTCTAGTAGTTCCTGAGTACCGTTAACAATGGAAATTTTTATATGGTGTTGATCATTTTGACAAAAGCCACCTAAGACCCCTTGGGGATTATTTTTGACAGATCGGCATCATTGTTTGGTCTAAAATGATGAAACAAAAAATTCAACGTTTTTTTTTACTTCTACTTTAAAATCGGGGAAAATTTTTAGACCAGAGTAGGCTTCTTTGTACTTGTTTCCACTGCTCCATAAAAGTCAACTCGCTGCAGTGACAATGAGTAGTGAAAACTGAATTTAAAAAAGTACCAACTCAGCCGTCATCTTGGATTATTTATGTCACGATATACTTTTACGTATTTTAATTAGTAACAGAAAAATTTCGTCCATACATTATGATAGAGACTTATTATGCTTCTTGTATTATTAATTAAAATATATATGAAAAGTGTTTTACAATTCTGACAAAAAATGACGAAAAACCCATAAGGGGATATATTTTTGACAGATATATCATTATTTTGTTTGATATACAAAAAACAAAATTCCCATATTGGACTTGTCTTATAAATTAAGAATATGGTAAATTTTTGGCATAAAATTTTTTACTTTTTATCCATATATTGTACAGAGACTTATATTTAGTATTTGTCGTCTAAAATATTGATTTTACGAAAATCGATGCATGGTGTTGCCAACTATTAAAAAAAAAATCATAAAACTATTAAGTTGAGATTTATTATAGATCCCAATTCTTATGTTAAATGTAGAAAAAAACATTTATTATCCAGGTGCAAGTTGGTATTGGGTTTGCAAAACTTATCAAAAATCGGGGATAAATTTGTAGATTAGATAATATTTCGATACCGAAATCTACCATGGTCAATAAAGGTCGACTCGCTGCAGGGAAGCCAGGTACCCAAAATATTTCCTAATATATCAGATAAAATATTTAAACTCGGCCACCATCTTGATTTTTGATTTTTGAATATTTTTAACTTATCCACTTTGGTGACAGAAACATTTTGTCCATACATTGTGCAGAATAATGTGACTTTTTAAATTATTCCTCAGTACTGTTTACTATGAAAATTAGTTTAATACTTTGCACCGAAGTTTCCATTCCTATACAAGTCAAATAATGTTATATGATAGGTCAAAAACTGAATTTTCTTCTTAAAATTGTCGTCATAGATAAAGTATCCTAATTTTACGTTAATTATGGATTTTTTCTTTTTAAATACTTTTAACATATACACTGGTGATAGAAACATTTCATCCATATACTGTACAGAGCCCAGTTACATATGTATGTTTCAATAATGAATTGTTATTATGTATATATTATTATGTTTTTTATACTTCATACACCTTGGAGTTCTTTTGTACATTTGGTTTACTATGAAAATTAAATCAGTATCATTGTTGCAACATTGACTGCCTAGATTTTGTCACAAAAAGCACCTAGGGCCCTTTGAGGGATAATTTTGGAACAATGGATCACTGTTTTGTTTTAAAATGACGAAAAAAAGTTCCACGTTTTTTTTACTTTTAAAATATACCCCAAAATCGGGAAAATTTTTTTGGACCAGGTAATATTTCCCAACGGTTACGCAATTTCCATTGCTTATAGAAGTCAACTCGTGCAAGGTTTAGTGGCATAAAATTGAATTTTTAAAAGTCCCTAAAAATGTCAACATAAATTAAGTATTATATATCGGCCGCCATCTTAGATTTTTACTTTTTAATACTTTTGACGTATTCACCTTAACAACAGAAACATTTCGTTCATACATTGTATAGAGCCTCGGTGACTCCTTCTAGTACTATTCTCTAAGAATACTGATGTAAGGTGTTGCCAGATAATTCTGATAAAATATGTCAATAAAATCAATAGGGGGATTGTTTTTCACAGATTTTCATCATTCTTTTGTTTGAATTTGAAAAAATTTTTAACTTTTTATACCTATCTCAACAATTACCCTAAAATCGGGGAAAATTTTTATACCATTGTAATACTTTGTATTGAGACACATAATCTCTCCATAGAAGTCGACTGGCTATGGGTATTGTTGCCAAGTGATTAAAATTACATTTACAAATATCCCAATTTTTCTCCGAAAAGCAAAAATCCCCATCTCTGCCGCCATCTTGGATTTCTAAAATTTCATAATTTTCCCTAGAGGCCGGGTCCTTCGGCTATCCGACGCCGTACAGTGCGTTGAGCTAGCATACTCGTAGGTACCCTATCAATTTCAGTTTTTGAAGCTAGACCTCAATTTCAAAATTTGTCCGATGATGTATGGGTGTTGCCAGCAAATTCTGAAAAAATCCACCTAAAACCCTTCAGGGGACGATTTGTGGTAGACCAAAACGAGTTCTTCATGTAAAATGTCAAAAAAAATTTTTCCCACTTTATGGGAGTTTTTTCCAAAATTAACCCAAAATCGGGGAAATTTTTTGTAGGTCTTAAACCTTCCTGCTGAGAGTTATCCAAGTCCGTAGGAAGAGACAAGCTTTGAGGTTGCCATTTATATAAATATATTAAATTGAAAATTGTCTCAATATTTTTCGAAAACAAAATAACCCATTTGGCATATATTTGATTTCTGAAATTTCATAATTTATCCTAGAGGCTAGGTTTTCATCCCAATGCCCTACAATAGGGATCGGTAGTATCCCCACAAGTAATGGAATTTCAGTTTTTGGAGAGACATTCCAATATTCTATTTTGGTCAAACCATGTATGGGTGTTGCCAGAAAATTCCAACAAAACCCACCTAAAACCCTTTATATGTTTCTCGATAGGCCTTGATGCTTCTTTTGTCAAAAATGCCGAAAAAATTTTAAGAAATCATATTCCCACTTTTTGGGACATTTCTCCCAAATTTTTCCAAATTCGGAAATTCTTTTTATCGCTGGCAATGCATTTACAAAGACCTATCAATCGCCCCATAGAAGCCGATCGCTGCGGGGTTGCCCATATCTAAAAAATGATTTTAAAATAATCCGGATTTTTAGGACCAAATTCACACGTAACTTCGGCCATCTTGGATTTTCGAAATTTCATTTAATTTTGATACCCTAGAGGTCGGGTCCATTATTTTGCGAGTTTTACAATTGCATTGTTTGCCTACAACCGGTGTTGTGTTGTAGACAAAGTAGCACCCCAGCAACTACCCTGGGAATTTCGGTTTTTGAAATCCTAGAATATTTTCAACCAGTTTTTTGCAATTTTTTCACCGCCATCTTGGATTTTAATTTTTAATTAATATCTATTTTAGCGATTTGGAAAGGTTCATATTCTGTTGTAACATACCCGAAAGGAAATCTACAAATCATTCTTTGAACGGAATCGATCCGGTTTATTCATAATAGAAACTATAAGTTAGCCGCCATCTTTGTGACGCCATCTTTTTTCCCAAATTTAATTTTTAGGTATAACGCTAGCCAAAGGAACATTTTTTGATACATCGTCTCGACCCCCGGACGCTCCTTCTGGGAGAACAACTATGTCAATCAGTGAGTGAGTCACCGTAATGCAGCTTTATATATTATAGATATAATTACATGGCGGTTACATTAACTTTGACATTTTGTCGCATTTTTGTTAATGTAATATGCAGGTATAGTCAGCACGAAATCCACATTTGCAAAAATTACTGTTTTGCTCCCAATAGTGCTAAACGATCATAAGATCGTAGGATATTTAAAGCGTCCCTTCAATAATAATGCACAAAATATTTAGTGTGTAATAATATTGAATAATGCTTGAAATATATTCAGGTACCAATATTGACAAGCCAATATTTTCGACGACCAAGATGTCAATTTTTAATAAAGTTTTCTATCACCGTATTCTTGTTCGTTACAATATTATTACGTATGTAGGTAAAATATTTTTAATACTCTTCTACCTACGTGTATAATAATATTGCTCAAAATCTGCTTTGCCTTATTCACCAAAAAAGATAATAAGGCGTCTATTATTGAACATTCACACAACTTTTAATCAATATTTATTCGAAAATTACTCTGTTTTTTATTGAGAAAATGTGCCATTGCTGTAATGACACACATACCACTTCGATTTAAAGACTAGATATTATAGATAATATTATTATTAAAAATATGAAATTCTTCCTGATTAGCATCTTATTACGTTTTTAGGTATATGAAATACTTTGATATTATACCAGAATAAGTCAAATACTCCGTTACAATGTTAATGTATGATATAAATAAAATAGATGTATTGGAATAAATTTGTTAAAATACCATAACATGTTTCATTCAATTTACTATTTTAAATCTTGTTGATTTAGACTCTATTTTAAAGCCAAAAATATTATGCTGAGACGCGCTGAGTATAATAGCAGACACTGGGTATCAGGCATCTCTGAGTATAATGGCGAAGGACAAATAAGCTGGTGATTTATTTGATGGTAAACAGTATATATACGAACAGCGCTACACATATCATCACTACACATCATCTACAGATATCATCATTTTACCATGTGATGTTTGTGAAACTACTCATGCGTTGCTATTTGAGTCGACTATGATGTCATACCAATTATCCTGTAATTCACTACCTTATTTGCTTACTCACCCTTAAATCGAAACACACAGTAAGGTGCTTGGCTATTTATGATTATTTTTAGTCTACCTCTCTAAAACTGAATATTCTAAGAACGTTCGTTATTAGGTTGATAATAGATTATTCGTCGGGAATCGACTAACGATAAGATACAGAGGTCGTGTCATCGTAATTTAGATCTGCCCGACACTAAAAAAAGTGCCCATTTATATTTTTGAGGTGTAGTGAACTAAAATGAGTCATATATATATAGAAGTAGAAAATAAACACTTCAGAATGCTCAGAAAATTTATTTAAAACTAATAATAACAATTGAAACCAACACCAGTAAAATAATAAAGGAAGAAATTTTTCATTGGTAAAATTATTCGCATGTAAATTGTATTGTTATTTATTATTAATTTTGCAGAAGTATGAAGGCGAATAAAGTATATATTACTAAATAATTGAATGGATCATCAGTATTCACAATAAATCAATAAAAATGAATATTTGTTAAAATTTGTATTGTTATGTATGACAAAATGATGACATCAGATACATAATTGTGAAAATTAATAATTTTGATATTGCTTTGAATTAAAACCCAATGAAAAATTAATAATAGATTAAGAAAAAAAAGAAGCTGAAACTGTTCTCATTCAGATCAGATTATTTCAAATACAGTATGACCCGCATACTTTTTATTTGAACATTTTCTTACTTGAGATGTTACTAACACATTCATCTTTCTATTTGAAAAATAGTAAAACGAACCGAATGTAACAATAGAATTAGAAATGCTTCAGCTTTAATACTTAATTATTTAGTGTAACTATCCATGGACTAATCTAATCATTTGCACTATGCAAATATATTATAAACAATGTATGTATTACTTACATAAAAGTAACTGTGTAATAGTTATTTGTTAAAAATAACGTATGGGGGGGTAATTAATTTCCAGGAAACAGATACAAGTCGATAGTCATTATGATCGGTGTGTATTCAGTGAGAAAATACTAGTGTATAATAAGACCTGTACCGACACAAATCTTTTATATCTCATTTTACAATAATTACAATTGAGTTACTTCGTTTTTCTCAAATCGGTATTCTCTCACGTTAGTCGGTAATGAAATCGATGATTTAGTTTATTCCGAAGGATGACCAGAGGCTCGAATGTGGAAGCTGAGCTGCGGTCGTAGACGGCGATGGCGCGGGCGGCGCAGGCGTGGTCGGACCGGACAGCGGCTGTGTTGTCATTTGACCAACACCCTGGGAGCCCAGCAGCAGAGACGGCGGTACGCGCCTTCTTGATGAAAGACTTCCCATAGAACGCTCGGAAACTGAAAGATGAAACGGTCGGCAAAACCAAAAATACGGTAAACAATTTGCCGGCATTCTCATGGTAAGTGGTAATTGTCGCTTATAAATGCATAGTATCTATAGCCATCACGTTATCATAGACAATGATAATAATGACGTTGCCAATTAAGAGGACTAAGACGTAATGTCCTTTATCCTGTAATTACACTGCGTCCTACAAATTATACTGTGTGATCGGCGACCTACAATCGAAACACAGCTTCCAGAACAAACTGCTTGGCGGCTGATATAGACGAGATTGAGGTACCCACGCGGACGAGTTTTTACAATTTATATCTGGTGCAAAAAATACTTCTACCATACATCGTGTTAGATGATAAAACTAATAACTAAACCTTGGAATAATCCGTATGTATTGCAAAAGGAATAGGAATCCTCAAAATCTGTTAATTTGTTGACAAAACATTAGCAGTCAACTGAATAGTAGTACCTATATCTATTTGTTTTCAGTTTGTATTTTTATTTCACTTTGTATAAATTATGTAATTACAAATATAATTTTTGACATAAGAGAACAGCTTAGTTATCATAAGCAAGCAGTATCTTGTACATCGGCATACTACCTACATGCGGGCACCTACCTTTTTTGTAACAGATAATTTCATCATATACCAAAGTTTGTAGGTACTGTTTAATACAACATTTTCATATTACTTTCAACAATGAAATACAATGTGGAATTGTGTATTGACGTATATAATATTAAAATACCTGTATCCATATTTTCGGGACAGTACTTGATGGTGTGCGCGCGATCGCCGGTGGCACCACAGCGCGGGCACCGGAATGCACGTAACACGGGGCACAATACGCGTCCGCGCCAATCTTTCAGTGCATGCGACGAATAGCATTCTTCATTTTCACCATTATTTTTGCAAAATGCGCATTCCTTTTAAAATAAACATTTACATTCTTAACATGTAATAGTGGCTCCGGAGGTAGTTTTGTGTTTACCCTATTTTTAACTACCTACATGTAAAGACAACTCTTTCATTTCATTTCAATATTTGCATACCTCTACGCAGTGCTGCATATTATGTACTTCTATTAGTAAGATCCGAAACTGGACCATGTAGCAAGCAAATAAATAAATAAATAATTATTATTATTTGGGTCGTCTTATGGTAAGCTTCGACACGACGTAGGTACGTGCTTTAATTGGCGATGATCAAGAAAAGTTCATTGGATCACAAGGCATCAATGAAGTGTATATATATATTATTATGTTTATTGTATATCTGTGTGTGATCTAGGTATAGCAATATGTACTGCGCGCCTACCGCGCCGCTACAGGTTTTGTAGCGCTGTAGATTATAACTATAGCCTGCAATATAATCAAGTTCCATGTGATATTGGTTCTTTTAACATTCTCAACCCTATGCGAAAAGAAAGTTGCAACAAACGTCAGTGTTTTGAAAACAACGTGAATGTAGTAACCACATTATTTTGTTTCGGTTATAATTAAATTGTCAATATTCGTAACGTACAGAGTACTGATGGACAGACCGAACTGGCGGCACACTTGACAGAACCGTCGCTTATAAATATGAACAACACACCACAGAGATATATCATCGTCACGTGACACCTAGGGTGACCCTTGCGCGTTACCATTTCTGAGATAATTTAATTGCTTTATTTCCCTATCCATACCGGATAACAGTGTAAGCTAATAAAAAATAGGTACATATACATATAGGGTAGAGTTTACAAATACTACGAACTTTGTCAACCTCAGTTATACAAAAATACACAAAAGAGCAAGTAAAATAAATAAACTTACATTAGGCAATGCACGCCGTATACGTTTATCACCGCGCACTTTGGCCACTTCTTGTAAGAACTCGTAGAGGACACCTGGCCGTATTGAGCGTAGCACCATGAGTTGTTCACGAGACAACATCGATACAAAGTTGTTGGCCGATGAAAGACCTACATAAAAAATATAGGTACTAATTAAAAATGGTTAAAGGTTAGTAGCTTAAAATACAAGGTAAATTACAAGTGACGACATGAAATATAGACCATATTACTCGCTAATAACTTGGTTTTCTATAGGTGAAGGAATTTTAAATTCGGTGAATTATTTTGGTGTTCATTTTGTCTTCAATTAGAAAAATAACGAACATACTCGTAAATATCTGTCATGTTTGGGGTTAAATAAGAAGGACCCTAATATTAGGGCAAAAATAAAATCTCTATAAACTTTTACCTAGCCTACCTAACCAGCGATGAACAGATATTCAAATTAAAAAAAATTCCTACCGAAGCGAATTGGGAATTGGAATTCAAAACTATAATAATTAATATGACTAATATAATATGAAAGTTTTAAATTTATTTTTAGATCTCTACTTTGTTTTTTGATTAAAGTAAGTACTTCATATTTATGTTACTTTATTTCATTTAACATTTTTAATCTAAATGGCTTTTAAAATTACCATTGCATATAGGTATATACAATATTGCGTAAAATAAAATGAATACATAGCATCGGGATAGGGTTCAGTATTAAATTACTTCTACTATTATTATAATTTATATAGTCGAGAATTAATATAAAATTTAGCATATGTTGTTTTGTACTAACTTTTGACAAGAAAATCGAAAGTGTCTGTCATTTCACCATTTCTAGAAGCAGCTATTGAAGAATTTTCCATCCACGTATTGGCGTGCATAGATCCTACAGACTCTGCTCTGCTGGTACCTGTAGATTTAAGAATTAATATATTTTCAACCGTTAAATATTTTATAGCGCGGTTATCAAATAATAGCAAATCCATGGAAATATAATTATAAACATAGCTTTAAACCTGTTATCCCAGATGGGGTTATCAAAGGTATTGTCAACTGCTGACGTTGTAGTAAAGGCATCACTTGATACGTTCACATGTCGTCTATATATTATATATTACTAGCTGTACCCGCGACTGCGACCGCGTGTAATTTAACTTTATTGTTTTAAAATAAAAGTGCGACTAAGTTAGGTACTCCTTATTACATCAGCTCCAGTTACTAATAAAACTCCCGTCAAAATCGGTCCAGCCATTTCAGAGATAACCGGAATAAATATACAGCCAGACAGACAGACGTTCAAAAATTGTAAAAAAAGGTTATTTTAGTGCATATACCGTATTTATATCTATATGCATGTAGTATAAAAAACGGTTATTTCAATATTACAAACAGACACTCTAGTTTTATTTAGCTATAGGTATGTATAGATAAAAACAAGTACCTTGCCGCGTTTATTTGTATGTTCGCGATAACCCTAAAAACAATTGAATCAAAACTGTGATTCCCGAGGACTAGACCTTCCTCGGGAATACTCGTATAATTTGTCTAAAGCTAAATGGATAGCAATTTGAATCCAACTTGGCAGGCGCGAATTTTAGAAACTTTTATAGAATTATATAACTGTTTTAATAGTAGTATCTAATAATCCACTATAACAAGAACGAAGTTCCAATTAAAATAATAATATCTTAAAATTGCAACTTACCCATATAGAAACCGGTATTCTGATCAGTCTCATCGAATAACAAATCGTTGTTCATTCGGTAATTCATCATCATTTCCATGTCAGCTGATGATGGTGCTGGTGATAAAAATTTCAAACACTATTATAAAAAAAAATTGATAATTAGACGAAATGCGAAACAAGCCTGTAGTCTGCCTGATGGTAAGGGCAACCGTCACCTATATATACAGCACTACTGTCATTACGTGATGCCCATGGTACTCCTCTAACAAAGTAAAAAATGTCTTGCCATTACGGTCGATTATGGTGTCACATCTCTGAAGTACCGATAGGTTATTTCATTGCTTAATATATTTTATTTGAAAATACTTAAGCAGTATCTAAATTTAAATTAGCTACTTCACAAAGGTATTTTCCTTTTATAAAAATAAAAGGTGTTTATGTGGTGTTAGGGCATGGTCATCTTTACAAATGGTATATAACCAGAGAACATTCCTACTCCAGGTTGTGTGGCGACAGTGAATGCTACTGAAGAAAGAGGACTAGCCGACCCATAAAGCTCGAAGAACTGGCACTGGTTGTTGAAGAAAGTCTTCGAGTTGCTGTCAATTAAAAACGCCTGTATTTCTACATACATCATCATTTGCTTCTTTCTTATTCCATTTATTTGGGGTCGGCGTAATATATTTTTGTCTTCCATTCATTCTGTTCGCAGTCATTCATACATACTCAAAATATCTGTTCGCAGTCAGTGAGAATTACATACATACTGCTTAATACAAAGTAAATATTTAAATCTTTTACCTATATCAGCAGCACGAGGTTCTTGCTGCGACAGGATATTCATTAGTTCGTTTCCTCCACGAGATTGGAACGATGAAGCCAAAGGTGAAAAAACGCTATCATGACCGTTGGACATATTTCTATTATCGGCAGGCGTGTAACTTTCCTGAATAGGCACAACAAGTTCATGGTATGGAGATAAAGTACAGGCACAGTGTATTATTATATATGCAATTTATCAATTCAAATGTAGGGTAGATCAAAATAATTCATTTATTATTGGTTTGTGCCCTTTCGGTATTTAATAAAAAAGCTACTTCAAAACAATCGTGCCACATACGAAAAGGACGCACATAAAATTCAATCGAAACTTTAATAAAATCACAAGTAGTTTTTCTTTAACTAAAACATTTCTAAGGTTAGGTATACCATTGTAAGAGTATAGTTAGATCACAGATAATACAATATTATATAGTTAGGTATAGATTAATACTGTAATTAGTTAACCTTCAGAAATTAATCATTACAAAATATACTTGAATTACTGTGGGTATTATTAAAAAAAATTAGGAGTGAATAATATTATGTGATTAGTATTTGTGCACACAATGATACGGGAACAAAGAAATTACCACCAATCATGTTCAAAATTATTACCAACATTGACGTACCTACTGGTAAAGTACCTACACAAATTTCAAAAAGAATAGTCGAACTTAATTTGTGATTGAAAAATACATTCTGTAATGTTACATTACAAAATACCAACAAGATCTTTGTTTAATTAAAATCGTCTAATATATGAACACTAAAAATCCACACGCATTGTCAATAATTTTAAGTCACTAAAAATAAAAGATAATATAAATTTCTGATTTTTAAACTTACGTTTGTTGCTGTTGCTTTAGTGTCAGTAGCAGTAGTAAATATTGGTTTAGAATCTTCCATTGTGAAGTTATAAGGAATAGAATCCATTTAAAAATAATAATTAAATTTGAAAATGGAGAGCAACCAATAAAGACGGTGCCGGTGTTAGAAAGAACCTTCTAGTTCAATCGTGCACAATATATACTAGAGACGTATAGTCCTATATTTATACAAATTATGTGAGGTTCAAACATGGTCGACTTAGCAACGTCGATACGAAAAAAATATTAATCTACCCTCATAACAAAATTATTAAAGATTCCATAATAAATTTTCAAACACAAAAAGTTATCAAGTAGGCGGTATTCTCTTATTTCTGTTTGACCTTTGCCTGTCTATAGGACAAATTAAAAAGTAATAATAACAATTAATTCGAAATGGTATTTACTTTATATGTTTTTGTTTTTTTAACTCGATATGGAATATGTCAATGTGACACTATTTCCTCCGTTTGTTTAAGCAGTTTAGAAACCTTTTTTCAGTATTCTGTACTCATTCATGCTTATATTAGGCTACAAGTTGCATTAAACTAGGTACCTAATGGATAAATATTAGATAAATGGAAAGGGAAAAACGTAGTTACCTAGTAGGTTCTTGGTAACTACATTTTTCCTAGCGGCGAACGATTTTCAAGTAATTTTCGAATAGGTATCTCTAAACTACTTGGAAATCGCTCACACTTAAGTATAGATATTATTACGGATTTAACAATGCACTGGAAATATAGGAATGTATGTGCATTAATGGTACGTAACTTAGACTAGTTAGTCCATAGTATAGAAAACGAAATATGACAAAGAAGAAAGTACAGTAGTTTTTCTAATGGATGGTAAGGAAATATTTTTCCAAGACGAACCGCGTGGAAGTTAACCTGACATAATTCGTTGCTATCAATGGGGTTATTAGTCCACGTTACACTATCAATCCTCTTTCCCCGGTGTATAGTAGTTTATTGTATCAAATGTACGAATTTGTATATATCATGACTATTTAGATAAATTGAATCTTAAATATTATGTACCCTTGTAAGTTAACATAAAACTAGAGTAATGCAAAATTTTATATGCATATGTAGGATGTAGATTTACTGAATGGGTTAATATGTTTAATTACCCATTGATTTATACAAGTGGCATACCTTGTATAATCGATATTGAATATAGTGCGCCAACTTGTGCTAACGGTAGGTTACGAGGCCATAGTGAATAACGATAAAACGAGTATGAAGTCAATTTCAGTTTGTTCATCATGGCGAAAATTACTGGGAATTTATAACGATGATTTCTAGAAGCAACCAGAATGCATACAAAATTTATACGAGTCATGAGCATACGGGCGAAGCCGGAACGGATTCTTAGTATACAAATACATCATAAATTACCATGCCAAATAATATCAAATATTTGATACATCATTAGTCATACAAAAGTACATACTAATTGCTATCGTTGTATACTAAATTACTGGAGGGTATATTCCAGTAATTTAGTAATTAAAAAACGTAATTTGTTTTCTTACATTACCCACCATTATTTCAAGAAAATCTACATTGGCCAGGTTATTAAAATATATTGATAGAAATATATTACTAGTGATATCTGCGATTTCATCTGTTTAAAAAAACATGAAATATAGCCTATTCCATTTCTATTATAATACGCTATTAATTTAAAAATCTCTATCTTAATAAATTTAAAAGAAATAAGTTCAGCCGTTTAATCGCCGTTTATTCTAGACTGACTGTTGAAATGATTAGGTCTTACGTGATTATAATAATCCATAATACCAAATTTCACATAGTAAATAATTTAATGTAATCAGCACTAGTCGGTGGGTGTTTACGTTATACAATACGCTTTCTGATTTTAGGGGTGACCGACCCAAATAAACAACAACGGTTCTGTTATTGTATTTGATACGTATTTTCCACAACATTATCTCTAAACCTCTATTTAGTGTTACCAAACAAGATTATACAGTATTGATCTATAATACTATATAGTATAATATAATACTATTAAAAACAAAATACCTTAATTTTATCTATGTTAATTTATATGTCACTCGTAAATCTAATATAACTCTTATATATGAATGTGTTTACATTCGATAATAGGTTATCAGATATTTAAAAATGTATTCATTCCCTTAAGGGAACTAATTCATTTCTGTACGAATTAGTAAAACTAAATAAAATTTGTGTCATTTTGAAATTAAGCGGTAGGTAGAATAGAAAATTAATCAAACTAGGCTTAATATCTTTTTCTAATTCTGATCACATAATATAATTGAAAAAGATTGGGTTGTTTTCAATTTGGGGTCAAATTGACAACAATTTCAAGTATTTGAATTTTATATTTAATTTGTTTTTTACATTTCAAGGACTTTCATTAATAAAATATAATACATCAATCAAATAGTTCACACATTTTAATTTTGATTAGTATTTGATGTTATGTATTTTGAATATTGATTAAATGTAGCACAAACCATTATTCTGGTGTAATTAATGAGAGCATTAGTTACATTAATGAGAATTAGTTATTTAAAGTTGAGATAACAATTGGCATTAATAATAATAAATTATATTCCTAATAAAACAAATAAAAATAACAAAAAATATTGCAGAATTTTATAATTATATCTACGTAAAATGACCGGATTAACGTTACAAAATCACATGGGTAACATCATTATGTATAACCCCAACCCAAGTACAAAGTAACCTTTTAGTTAAAGTACTAATGATATCAGTAATGTGGCAAGTTTATGTTTTTATTTTATATAATTTGAATGATAAACAAACTAACCCATCAGATTGTTTCTAACTGCAAAACTGTATTGGCAAAGTTATGCTTTTGGCCCTTGAAATCAACCCTATAAAAGGTTACGGTTAGATACCTATCTAATTACCTAAATAGGTATCTACGAATTGAAAAAAAATATTTGATATATTGTTCTTTCGCAGTCGATTGCTTTAATAGTTTATTGAATTTCTAGGTAAATATTGCCCAAATTGGTGGTCAGTTTAATCAAACCGCAAAGTTTTGAAGGACTTAATTGCCATTACTTGTGTGTCTACGCATTAATATAGAGCAATAGGTATATATAATGTTCACCTGATCTACGGTGTAGTTCAATAAAATGCAGCATGCAGCAAAAAAAGACAGTAACGTTCTATCTGTAGCATTTTATTTGTCCAACATTGGATTTACAGAATGAGTCTAATTAATTCAACTAATAATACGGTTTTATTATGTCAAAGAAGTAGTTAAACACTATAAAAATCTAGCTTTTCTCTTATAATTAAATAATTATGTATAATTAACTTGTTGTTTGAAATATTACATAAAAAATAGGAACTTCAAAACGACGCGCTTTTTCATTATTGATCAGCCATAAAAAGTCGGATACAATTATATATATACCAATAAAAACTAATAAGTACTCTATAATAGTATAAAATTAAATTAATGTAATGAATATGAAATTAATAATAACTTATAAAATTAAGTGAATTCTAAAAGGCGGAGTCAAAGAATAATACCAAGAAATATATTGTGTGGTTAAAATTGATTGACGAAGTAGGCATTCTTTTATAAACAATTTATAATCAATCTCAGCAAATCTAGACGCGTGTCAAATAGAATCACCAACATAATATATCTATTCAGTCAATGCCTGTTTTGTAAATCGTCCGATTATCGAATGAGCTCTACTATTAATACAAGTAATAATAGTAATCATTCCTTATGATTAAAAATGAAATATGTTACGTAGACATTTTTAGTATTATTCAGTATGGAATTAATATTAGCTGAGGAACTGAAGAAGCGACGTCAGTCAGGTTGCTTTGGGCTGTAAGATCCCAGTGTGATGTCCGCCCGTTATCTCTCAGAATATTCAGCCTCTTCTTGCGGCGGCGGCCGGCAACGGTGGATGTACGCATTCACTGATGTGTCATCTTCGTGGATCTGACAAACAGTACCAGTAGCGCACACACAACTGAAACAAACAACGTTCCCATTATATACATACTACGACATGAATATTATAAACGCTAAAATTTGTAAAAAGACGTGTTACTCTTTCACGTATAAACTATAGTTGTTTACTATAGTATACTACAGGACAGATTCGAATTACAGTTAGTAAGCAGTTAGGTTATATCATAGACTTACATATATTATACCTTATGTCCGGATTCACACGATCAAGTATGGGATATACAACTAGTTATTACATGAAAAAATACCTTAAAGTATCTAATTAAGCTAATTCTTCTAAGAGACAAGAGATCTGTTTGAAGATATGAGTATCAATAATAAACAGAAACGACTAAAACTGTATGCCTACATCAACAATGTTATGTTCATTCATTCATTCATAATTTAAGAGCTACGCTCTTGTCGGTGGAGCTCTTGCCACTTTCCGCGATCTTCCATCATGCTCTTTAATTCTTGAATGTGTTGTTATGTACTAAACCAAATTATTATAGGAAAATCTAAATGTGTATTCACTATATTTTGTAGCAAAGAAGTACCTAACATTTATTTACAATTAAAAATGATACATACAATATAACACGAAAATAAATTGATTCAAATTGACGTTTCTCTCACAGAATCTTATAAAACTCAACCTTAATTCAGAAATAAAATTCAGTCATAAATTGTATTCTGTATTATTATATGTCAGGATTTCTAAAGATACAAAAGACAATTACGGGAATAGAGTACGGTAGTTTTGGTACTTTTATTAGAGGGAAAAAGCGAAATATAATCCTAAACCAAGTTTGATTTATAGTAATAGTAGGTTATAATAAATTAGTAATCAGCTTCACTTACTATGTATTTGTTAAGTTGAGTGTTAAGTACTTGGGGCCCGGTTTGTAAATGGACCAGGCGCATGGCGTTTGTGGTTCGCATATAAGTCGCTGTGATGTTAATAATGAGGGCTCCTGCTGATCTTCCGTGTTTACCGCTCTCTGCAATGTTAAATAATAATTAAAAAATATAGATACAAGTTATAACAATATTGATGGTGATTTAATAAGATGAAGAGTTGTTGATGAATGCGACTAAGAGAACTTTCGTGAGAAAGATAAAGTCAAACAACCATAAATTAGGTTCGTAAACTATATTCCTGATATCATCTATTTCAAATTAGTATTTATTTTACTAATAATACATGCACTGTCTTCAGGTAATGCAGTTGAATAAATTTTATCCACTTTTGTGCGAATAATAGCTGCTACTCGCCGGTTCACGGTGTCAGCTTAAGTACTAGGTACTGATGAGGACAACAATAAGACCGACAGTTTCAATTTTTGTATACATAATATTTGCATGGGTAAGTAAATTAAAGTTATCAATTTCTTATACTATTATTTTCCATGCATACATATTATTATCTATCTGTGAAAGTAAACAATAATTTGGCATCGAAGTTTAATTTAGACGTATGTATATAGTTAGAGTCAGTTATGGAGATCATATCTAATCTATGATTGGAGTGAGAGATTTTAACTATTCTTACATGACAGCCTACCAAGTAATAGATAACAATTGTTTCAAAGGGCAGTTACGACGAACTCACTATCTAAACATTCAAAGTTCGAATCAGTGCGTCAATATTGCTACTTAGAAGTTTACAATGTATGTATTTTTTTATAATTACAAATCTAATCAACAACTACACCAATATTTACGAGAAAATATAGAAGATGTAAACAATAATAAATGGTGTAAGTTACAACTGTAGTATCAAATCCAAGTCAGATGGATAACAAAAGGTTGGGTTACAATAACAAATTAAATGGCCTCCGAAAGAATGTTACAGTTTGTAAGATTAATTATACGTACACACGCATACTAAACCTCTTTCTCACCTAATTCTGCCAATAAGCCGCTTACTGTACAAGCATACAGCTTGTTAACGTATGTTTCACAAATGACCTAACTGTCTTTTAAGCTTTTTTCTTCAATGTTTATGGTGACATATGATGTGGGATCTGCCTCTACGATAATATTTTTTATTACAGCGAATTATTAAAGGGAAGGAAGTGAACAACTACAACAAAGTATAAACTATTGCCTATAAAAATACAAATATCCTCACAGACAAAATACATTACAAAGCGTGACTATGGTATAATCTATACATATAAATAAAATTGAAGTGTCTGTTTGTAATATTGAAATAACCGTTTTTTACTACATAGTATATGTACCGTATTTATATTTACATAATATAAATATGGTACATATACTAAAATAAAATTTTTTACAATTTTTGTCTGTCTGTGTGCAGACTGACAGAGTCTGCTTGTTCCGGCTAATCTCTGAAATGGCTGGACCGATTTTGACGGGACTTTTTTGGCAGGTAGCTGATGTAATAAGGACTAAATTAGGCTACTTTTATTTCCGAAAATAAAGTTAAATTCCACGAGGACGAAGTCGCGGGTACAGCTAGTACCATATATATATGGTAGTATGACAGGCTGATTATGGTTCAGAGAATTAACTTACGTTATAGTATACATATAATATATATAAACTCTTTATAAAGCCAAGTTTATTTTGATACGACTTCCTGATATAGTTATCTGATGATCCATGACTGTGACAACAAATGATCCCGTTCGCCAAGCAGACGACTATAAACAAAAACATCGCCTTAAAAAACTTATCATCGTTCTATTCTATTGTAAGACAAAGGGATGGATAGAAATTACGTTGTATCAATGTAAGTAATATGAATGTAACTACTTTATAAGGATCCAACCTCTAATGGGTTATCAGGAACACGATAGTACGCGCGCCCTTGAACGTATCCGCCGCGCCTCACCGAACCGCACCACTTCAAACATGAATGAATTGAATGGTGGCGACACTAATAACTGAGTTAGATCAACACGTGGAAGAACAAACAGGAACTGTATGAGGTACTACGGTCGTTGACCACATGTTTGTTGACCAACAGTCACGTTACCTACTCGGAGTTAGGCCTCCGGCGAACCAAGGCACGGGGAATGTGAGTCACTTAGCGTGCGGTCATCAGAAATAGAATCTTGTGGTGTTGCCAAATTTGTATTGGGCAGATCGTAATTCCAGTAAGTGTTTGGGGCCCAAATTAAATGTGTTGAACGATTCTGAACGCCTTACGTGATTCCTGAGGGAAATTCTCTTTTGCTTTTCATTCCTTTCTTTTGTTTTGAAATGATAAAAATAATTTTAATCATAGTAATACAATATCAATCATTTCAAGTAATGGGAAGATTGAAAGTGGATGAAGACATAGACGCAAAAGAATGGGTATAAATATACACGCATACCGATTACGAGAACTTTAAATACTCTTTTCGATAGTAAGTACACAATCCATCTGACAATGATTGGTCATACTAGATTTCTAAATGAATTTATGTAAAAAAGACAGTTAGTTAAATTCAAATTTATTATTGACAATGGAAATAAAGAAATATAATATGATATTTGTATTTGTTATCCAAATATGTCATATAATTTAGTTTTTATAAGAAAATAATTTACTAGAAAATTCTTAAATCTATCCGATGATGATAGGAAAACTACTTTATTGTTGTTTTCTTACAACGTAGTAGTATAAGTACGTTACGAGAAAATCTTGCACGTGTATATTATTGGACCGATTATATTTAACTCATATACACTTGGTCGAAATTGAACCAAAGTGAATTCTAATTGTACAGGAACAAATAAGTATTAAGCAATCAACTTATAACGATAACTAAATATTAAAATTAAAATAATATGTAAAGTATAAATTTACTTTTTTGGTATGTTTGCAATGTAAACTTTAAATACTATATACTTCACCATAGGTGAAGTACCATTACCACCATAGGTGAAGTATATAGTATTTAAAGTTAGAATGAGAGATAACAATGAGAGAAAATCTACTTATCGACGACCTATTTTGCTTAAACCTTACTACTTACACCAATTTAAAGGTTTTAACATAGTATTATAATTAATATTAAATTAGCTTATATGATTGAGTGCAATAATGGCTGGCTCATCCGTCATGCTCGTGAACGAATGCCACTATTATTTTCTTTTGACAAAGTTGCAATAGCAGACGCTAGTGGTCTACCTAATTTTTAATTTAGAAATGAATCTGTATTTTTGTATACCTGTACAAGCACATTTGACAACAATAAGAGCGGAGATTCTTGTCAGTTCTTCTTAGCCCGAATGCTCTACAAACTGACGATAGTTTTTGACATATCATAAGAGTCTGTAACAGACCTACATGATTAAAGAATGAATGAAAAAAGATATGAAAATTTAATTTTATTTATGTCATTTTACATTTTAACGTACATTTTAAACAGTGCAAGTGTTATAACAAAACCCGCGGTGTCTTTTATCAATGCTGGCAGTTTACCTGGTGGTAAGTGAAACAGGAATACTACAACGGAAACAATGTCATCATGCGATGTACGTAACACAAAAGGGGTAACCCTCACGCATGAAATAGATGAGACAGACGTGCCCACGCAATAAAACTTTGAACATAGTCCAGATCGTAAAATAAGTAGCTAATAATATTAGTATTTCTTAAATGTTTTTGTATTTTAATAGTAATATCGTTTAGTCCTAGAAACATCTCTATTAGAATGGGCATATAATTTTAATAAGATACCAAGATATATATACCTTAAAGTAAAATTAAAACATCTATTAAAGCATATTTATTAAGCAATTATTTTAAGACATATTAAACGATTACTTAAATGGTGCATTATAATAGTTGTTCATGCACGAGCTTTCGATTTAATGTTACACATAAACATCTATATAAGTATACAATGTAAATAAGCCGGCTTTAAAAAAATGAAATACAGTTAAGTTTCTTGCCAGTTCTTCTCAATTGAATCTGTATACTGTATTGGACGGTAGGAAAAAAATATTTATACAAAAAACTTGACGTTCTAAGTCATATAAACGGCTAAAATATCCTACATTAATAAATGATATTGATTTTGATTTTAATTAATGTAGTCCGTATAAACAAACAATTGATATCGATTTTTGGACCCGATTCTGAACGAACTACTTTAAGTGATTGGGATTGTTCTGTAACATTGTGTACGATAGAATAAAAAGAGAAATGTAATAAAAAGAAAAAGAAATGCTAAATTAAAAACAAGAATTGCCTTTAAAAAATATATATATTTCCGAGTACGTAAATAGGATTTTGTGTAAATAAAAGTAAAAAAAACAAATCAAGTGAGAGTCGGATTCGCGTGCTGAAATTTCTATAAAAATATTGTAAACAAGTTTTTATTTATAATATTAAAAAAGCGTCTGCGTATGTTTATTTATGTTCGTCGAGACGACCACTCTATCGTCTACTTTTCGGTATTATAATTTCGCTGTCACGCAATGCAAAGCAGTGTCAAAATCAATCAACTACAAATTTCTTCAATAATACCTTTTAATAGTGATTCATGAAGATAGAAATAAAAGAAAATGCAACTAATACTATAGAGAGTTACAAAAAAAAGAAGGTTATAAAATTGAAAAAAATATAACAAAAACCAATCAAGAAGTTCGCTACAATAAAAAAAAATCATAAATGTGAGCCAGATGATTCAATTTGAGACTAACACACAAGTAACGGTCTCAATTATTGTAATTAGTTAATTTTTGTAACTTAATAGGATGCTGTAATCATCCTACTAATTATAATAGTTATATATTATTATACTAATAGGTATAATATATTATTTGAAAAGAGTGAGGGTAGAGTTTTTTTTCAGTTCTTCTTGCTTTGAACTACAGTCCGAACTGACGGTATTTTTGACTCATCACAACCGTCTGTAATCCCACACTAAAAATATAATACACAAAACACTCTTTCATATTTATAATATTATAAACACTAAAATAAAATTATATATAAAATTAACATTCTCACTACTAACTAATTTTAATTAAATTTGTTCTGAAGGTAGATTGTAACACGAGAGCTAACATATTTTTTACATCAAAAAAGCCTCAGGAAACAGCTAGGATAAAAATAAAGCCCATAAAAATAAACACATTTAAATTTTGTTTGAAGAACCGATCAAATTCGATATGCAGTAATGCAATTAAGAGCTTAATTTTGGTTGTTTGTTTAAGGTTCCTTGCGATTTAACAGGCATTTAAAGTAAATGTTAAAAGAACGGCCACCCTCTATCACGCGCCGCTTCCGATCGTATCATCCGCTAGTTTGTTTAGCGGTCAGTGTAACTTTTTTCTTTTATAGTGTATTACCTTTCTCTAGGCAAATTAAAAAATGAGCCTAAAATATAGTATAGATTTTAATACCTACCTATATAGGTACATTACACATATGTATAATATATTTTATACTACGTACTATTGTAACTATTATTAGGTAATAATAATTATCTACTATTATTTTTTTAATTACTTATTGGGCCCCCATTAACAATTTCTACTTTAGTATATATATTGTTAATGACACCAGACATTCTCAGATGTAATATAATAAAATCTATTATTCACGATACATCCAAACAGATGTCACTTCATCCACCTGGTGAATAAACACATACATTTATTACGAAGTAGTCTAATTTTAATTATTTCTAGTTATTAAATGAATTTAACCTGGAAGTTGCGTCCCCTTCTGTTTAGACAAACGGGACATAATAAATTGCACACGTATCGTTTTTACTTACTGACATTTCACATTCGACACATTGTGGGTAAAATTATTCTTTCAAATTCATACATGGAATCAACGTAAACTATTCAATTCAATAAAATTATGAGTATATGTAATAGGTAAACTGAATTTATCTTTTAAAATGGAGTATTTACATAAATAATATATTAAAGTTACATGACACACTAAGTAAGTTTATACATATATATATATATATATATATATATATATATATATATATATATATATAAATAAGTACTCCTTACGCTACTACTTAGTTTCAAATATTATGCAAGTCATATATATTTGAGTTTTAAATAATATAATAAATTTACTTGACAGAAATGTAACGAACTTTTCATTTTATAAACTGCAATATAAAATTTAAATAATACTTTCTGCAAATATAGATAACTCAAATACATTTCTCTAAAAAATGGGTACATAATCTTTTGGTACCCCAAGGTTACTGAATTCTATAATGTTTAGATGTTCGCATTTAAAGTAAGATAGAGTGAATTACACTAGTCTCCATCTTATTTATATATTTTAGATATAGCCACTAAATATTTAATAGTACTTCGTAGTATTGCGTTATACGACCTTAGGTTTATTACTTCTCATAACACCTATTCCCGTTCTATTCCTACGCTCGTCTTTGCCTTAAAATAAATACCTATCAATGAGCATGATGATAAAAAAATTACGCAGAACTTAATGTAACCGACAGCAATTAATAGATGTGTGTCATATTTAGTACTTAGTATGACCCCAGATTATTGTTTATTTTCACTTCAAGTAATATATCTATACTTACGTATGCAAACACAACTCTTATCGACCTAGTAGATATTATTTACACATTCGACTCTCGTCACAATATAATTTGGGGGTAATTAATTCGAGACAAATAAGTCTTGTAGAATTATTGCTAATTAACATAATCGTAAAGGAGCATTGTCCGGATGACGATTAAGTTCATAGTCTTTTAGGGCAGTATTAACCAAAGTTTTGTGAAATGTTACTTCTAAAATATGTCGGTACTTATGAACTGTACATCACTAGACCTGTAACACCTTATATTCCTAAAATGCTATGGAGTCCCAACTGGCCTCTTACTTATATAAAGCTTGGATATTGCACTCACCCGTTCCCGGTTCACCATAGCTGCAGCGGCAAAAGCACAAAACGCGAGCAATAACAGTATCCCGCGCGTCATATTGTCACTATATGCGGGTATTTGAGTATAAGAGGTGTGGAGACAAACACTAAGAGGGATCGTAGCGAAGTGTCGCCAGAGAGTAACCGCTCACATTATATATGTAGACCGAGTACCCCGCGCACCTCCCCTCGACCGATCTCCACGATTTACAAAATCAAGCTACAATAACGAGGGAATTTATTATTAATTAATTACATTATATGAATGGATTTTAGATAATAACACATATGGCGCGAGTCTTATTTGTAAACATATTTAGCATTGTAGGTACATATCTGACCATGACGAACAATGCTCTTATTCATATCTGAACAATACCAACTTTAACTATGATTTATTCAAAGGGTGTATTTACAATATTTTTACATATTTTAAATATAAATTTACACTTTTCTATTTATAAATATGACCTATTATTTGGTGTAAAGAAATTCATTAAAGTATGGCATTTATTTCAATGTATTATGTAGGTTTACCAAAGTTATACAACAGAAGAAGAAAACAAAAGCGATTTCACAGAATTAGTCCTTAGATATAACTCACTATTACTAAATAATAATAATAATAATCAATTTTAAAATAATAATAATCATAATCTGCGTACGAATATAATCTCAACTGGGGTAGTCAACAGTCAACCTCATGGTGAATGCAACACTCAACACACCAACAAACACGTATATTTGAATCCAATATACCAGTGGCAAGCTTGTACTACCGTCTCATGGATATTTTTTTTGGTTTGTATATTATAGGTGTTTCCGTCATCGTAGAGTCAGTCAGTAAAAATTGAACATAAAGTAATTATTATAGTGTCAGATCAGATTCGAACTCACGACCTTTCTGTTTTAGTTGTAGAAAATCACTAGGCCACAAAGTTCTTGTGGTTTTCATTTAAGTACATTTTGCTACTAATAAGAGTATCCAATAATTTGATAAATTAATAGTAGGTATAGATGTAGATGTGTGATATTTTATATACCTACAGCTTAGATTCTTCTTGCCTTCCCTGCCTTCTTGGATAATAAAGTTGTATATCTATATTTACTCTGATACACGATATAAGTATGTCCGTATACCTACTTGTTCAACATTTGTACAATTATTTTACATATTAAGATGATATTACTTTTTTTACAATTTAAAGCAGAATTTAATACATAGATACATACTAAAACAGTAAATGAGAATTGGATACCAAATAAGGACTTATTCAGTGTCCAGACACTAATGATCACTATAATTATTTTAACTAATTTCACACAAGATCCCTTAAAGGGAGGTAGATATACAAACAAGTATGATCAAATAATATCTACTCCCTTCCCAAACGTTTTTCGACTAAAGTTTACTTTATATAGACCTCATAGTATTTTATACCTGATTACTTACGATATCAGGATCTAAAAAAATGCTATATAATCTTTTATAAATTAATGCATTAATTTTTTTTTTGTAATTTTTTTTTTATTTCCACTGACAGCGGTCCGTGCCTTTGTTGATTTTATCTATCTCCATTAAAATTAATTACAATTTTCATTTATTAACATTTTATGGTTTACCGCCCTATATATTTATATATAGATATGTATATATAATACATTAATTTCACACAATGACTATTAGGTATAGAATAAATTAGGCAGATGTAAATATAATACATGGGAATATGTCATGTAAGAATTTTTCGTAGTAATCCTTTTTACAGTCTTACATTACAATGCTTACATACTCTACACTTACAAAATTATTACGCTTTATTTACGATGGTATAGTAAACAAAGTACATATTACTTCATTTGTGTGTAATGTAATTCTGTAACTTGTATATCATATTGTTTGTTATTTGCGTAATGAAATGAAGAAAACTATTATTAATATTATTAATAATATAGATGTTTATTTTAAGTGTCCGATATATAAAACATATTAATGCGTCCAAGAGACTGATGATGTTTGACGTCGCAGTATTGCGTCATACCTACTGCACAGCCACTGTCTAGTTAATCTTTCACTATTGTATCTATAATAGAGATACTACACATTACATACATTTTTTTGTAGAAAAAAATCGAGACTCTTCGGTTTTGTATGAGTGTACCGTGTATGTGCCCAATGTCATCAAGTACCTAAATCAGAAAAAAATTGGAACATTTTATCATAATAGACGTCACACTGCACAGCATTTTACATAAGACCCGTTAATGTTAATATATTATAATATAATATATATAATATAATAGTTAATATATTAAGTACAAAATTCTATACTATAACATGAAAATCTAAAAACCTAATATTTTAATTAAATTATAACTTTATACAGTTTCTGTCAGTATTGTCTCCGATTTCAGGCTGTTTAGAACGTTTAAAGCCAAGAATCCTGAATTGTATGCCTTTATAACGGCATTTTTATGTAATCAGTAGCGCGCTCAATCTAACGTGAAGAAAGTATGCGCGTGTTGTATGTGATTGATTGTTTTTATCTATTTTTTGAGCACAAGCTTTCGCGCGGGATTTTAGGGTATAAATACATGAATTTTGTTTTAAAATTTTATTTAGTATTCCTTAGATACCTATATATTATTTTCCAAAAGGACTCTATATTTTTAAATTATGAATAAATCTGTAATGAGTGTTTTATTTATAGTTAAATCTCAGATCTCCATTTTACAGTGTTACTTATTTATTACAAACATGAGTGAAAGCAAGCATGGATGAAGTACGTTGGATTGGTTTGAAGATGGCGCATAGCGGCTCGCGCGCGCTATTTTACGTTCTATTTGGCTACCCTTAATGGATACACCTGGGTACCATCGTGGTCAGTTCTTGGTGAATTCACCACCACGAGCTAACTGACCTAACTTGAATCTCATCTCCTGAACTGTCACTGGTACCCCGCCAGCACACACGGCAGGCGGCACACCATTCGATTATGAAATGAATATAAAAGAAACATCGCGCAACAGCATGTGCTTGATATTATCCGAGTGTAACTTACAAACATATTATTGTTATTTTTATATAAATAATAATAATAATAAAATAACTATTTTATATGTTATTACTATACATGAAATAGTTACTTTCGACGGTAATAACTAAATTAATATTCTGTTCAGTAAAAAACTGACAAGTGGTTTTATTTTGTGAAGAATAAGATGTTGCTGGTCGAGATTATATTACTGATGATAAACTGAAATGTGTACATAGAAATACTGATCTTATATACTAAATAACAGTAGGAAAATGTATGGGGTGACATAGTTTAGAACAGTATTGATTTTAAATGCAATTATTATTTTGATGTATCTAGGTGACTGTGTCCCATAGATATTCTTGAGAGAAAAAAATGTATATATATTGATAACATTTTCTTTGCTCATATTAATTGTTTGCGGCGAATAATACTTTCTTTGGTCTGTGCTTGTTTTTTATTCATCGATGTCGGTGTCCACCAAAATTCTATAGCCACTGTTAGAGTCGGTTATGCACAAGAATAGGAGTATTTGTAAGCCTATATTTGCGATGATATAATATAAATAATAGTATATATATTTAACATTTTTGTATTACTTGCAATGACGTCGGCATGTTTTTTGTAGACAATTTTTGCTTTATTTTTCCAGTTTCAATTTTTCGTCTTTATCCAGCAGGCAGTTGTGTTTACTGGGGGTCAGTAGCACGGCAGGATTTTTGCGCAGTATTGCAATAATAACTTTGACCTGCTTATTTATATTATCCGAGTGTAACTTACAAATTTTTCTTATTGTTATTTTTATCACGTCGGGGTCACATAGATAAATAATAATAATAATAAAATAACTATTTTATATGTTATTACTATACATGAAATAGTTACTTTCGACGGTATTTATAAGGTAAGCAATAAACACTGTAGTTACTTGGTAATACAAAAAGTTTGGGATATATTGAATAATTGATTCAATATATTACTATGTTACAATACATTGTAATTAAAGTAAATAGGGATGTCACCATAAGTTTATGAACTCCCTAGTTTATATTCTAATTTGTGAGATAGAAAACTATGAATAAATTGTAAACTGTTTGCTTCATAGATACTGATAATAATATTTTTTACGCATATAGATAATTTCACGAGATAGATCATAGGCGAATAGAGAAACATTTTTCACGACGCAACTTCTCGCCAATGATGTGACCTAGTGTGACGTTTATCGAATTTACGTCAAAACAACAAATTATAAACAATGATAACACCCAATTTCATGGGAATACCAATTTATAGATATAATAAAATGTAAGTGTTCACTGTCTGTATATAAAGGATATATATTTATACTATTATTTGAAGACTTCATCAACACCCAAAACATTGTGGTGAGTTTCTCTAAAAAATTTGTGTTATGTTTTATGTCAATCGGATTATACTAAAAAAATATATGAGTACAAAGTCGCGGGCTCGGCTAGTTAATAATAAAAGAAGCAAGTACGTAGTACCTACATAGTAATGACCTAAGTGACATGTTATCTTTACAACATTAGAATGTGATATGGGCGGAAATTTAATTACAAATTAGTCGAAACTGAATTAAGACTTACTTCTTAGTAAAGTGAAGACTTACTACTTAGAAAATAGTTCGTAACAAATATTAGGTACTTGTTTATAAAAGAAAACAATATATTCCTATTAAATTTAGTCCAAACGAATTCTAAGGAAAAGACTTGATTTTCATTTATTATTAGTACTGGAATTGTGTATTAAAATTTGAAAAACCTACCTATACTTAATGAAATTAATTGTATTTATTAAATTTAGAAATACATAACTTTTATTCTGACAATATCGCAATTATTGATAATAAATTAAATACAAGTATATTATATATGTACCTAACCTAAATAATATATGATGTAGGCATATATTTTTTGCTACTCATCATTAGATAGAATTCGATGAATTTCACAAATTATTAATTTAAACCAAGTTATTTGTTAACTGATTAATACTACTCTTAGGAATACTAACCTATCGCAACAATAAAAATATAAACCAACATCGTACCTGTTATTCATTGTCC